CCCGCACGTGGGCAGCCCCGAGCGTCCGGCCGCTGCAGGCCCCTGCGCCCAGGGGCCGCTGCGCTCCCTGTCCTCCAGGAGCTCACTCTGGTCCGGCCGTGCGCTCCTCGAGGCCAGAGCCCGCGGCGGTCCCCCTCCTCGACGGCAGCGGCCCCGGACAGCGGGCAGCGGGGCTGGGCACCGCGGAGCCCCGGCACCGAGGAGGCAGACGGACACAAGGGGGGACCTGGCTCCAGTCCGGCGGTCACCTCCCACTGGCCAGGGTCCCGGGGGCCCTGCCGCGTTGCCCAGACCTCTTCCTGCCCTCTCCGCTGTCTGTCATGGGCAGATCCCCTCTGCGGGGCCCATCCCCCTTGGTGCTGGCCTGGAGCCCACACCGAGTAGTGAGGAAGGACAATGGCCCTTTCTTAGGAAATGGCCCTGGGTCTGGGCCTGTCCAGAGCCGCCTCTGACAGCGCTGGCCCCAGCAGCTGTAGCACGGTATGAGATGAGGCTGGCAGGGGCCTTTTGGAAAGCCTCTAGCCACGGCTGGGGTGACCCATAGGCATCCCGAGGCTGCATCCTCCGTGCCTGTGGGCTCGCTGCAGGGAGGCACCAGGGACGTTTCTTCCTACTGGCTTGCACCCTATACCCCATCTCGGTGGGCAGCCTCTGCCCAGGCCCTCTTGACAAAACTCTCACCAAGCTCCTGACAGGTCCTCTGCTCACTCCCAATGAGGTGAAGTACCTCCTCGTCAGTAGTAAGGAGCACAGAAGGCAGAGTCCCCACCGGTGTGAACGGGGAAGTGGGTGTCTGAGCGCACAATGAGAGGAGATCTCCAGGTGCCCATCCCAGGCTTGTTACCCTCCAGGCCCTTAGCCGCTCTGGAAAGCTGGGCCTCTGGCCGTTTCTTTGTGGTCATTCAGTGGATGCCGGGTGCTGTCCACCTTGCCCTGGCCTGGTGGGGAAAACCTCTGTGGTTCCTGGGTATGCAGAGCACAAGCAAGCAGCACATGGCCTTGCTGGGCACCCAGAAGCGGGGGAGGGGGACGGTGGCATCTGAATGTGAAGGGCATGCCTCTCGGATCCCAGCGAGTGCCCGGGGGATGAATGCGTGATCCGGTACTGTCCAACAGCCTCAGATACTATTGCCTTGGCCCCCTTGTCTCTGAGGTTCCCCGTGAGGCCTGGGTGGCCAGGCATGTGCTTTCCCAGGACTGTGCTGGCTAGGGGGGGTCTATGGGGTCTGAGTGGGGGCAGGGCTGCCGAGGGGACCTTTGACCAGAGTGATGGCCCCCATTTGGGCTGTGTTTGCCCTGAAACCCACATAGGTGCTTTCTCTCGGTTTCAGGGAGCAGCAGCCAGCGATCCGCAGGCGTCTGATCCAGAACTATCCCCTGAAGAGCAGAGAATCCGAGAAAGGAAACAGAAGAAGGAGCGGAAGAAGGAGGAGAGGAAGCGGCTGAGGCAGGCTGGCCTCGCGGCCCAGGCTTCCCCCACCCAGCGCTCCGGGGCCGACCTGGCCTTGGAGTACCTCTGCAGGTGAGGGGGTATCTATGTCTGGGCCGTCTGTGCCCTCTGCCACCCTCCAACTTCTATCCTCTCACATCACCTCTGTGTTTCCAGCTGGGCCCAGAAACGTGAGAGCTGGAAGTTCCAGAAGACGAGGCAGACATGGCTCCTGATGCACATGTATGACCGTGACAAGGTCAGCCTTCAGGGGTTCCCAGGGCACAAGGACTTGGCATCCTTGGAGGGAGGGGGGCGTGGGGGCCTCTGTGGGCAGGGCCTGCTGGGGCCACCCTGGACTGTTCCCAACCAAGCAGATGGCAGGGGGCCAGGGAAAGTGTGTGTGGGGGGGGGGGGATGAGAACCTGGCAAGCAGGAAACATGTGAGCCCGAGGCAGGGAGAGTGACCCACAAGGTCCCCGGGTTGGGGGGCAGGAAAGGACAGCCCACTGTTTTTAGGTCTAAAGTCCTGGGAAGGGCTGTCCTGCTAACAGGCGGCCCCTCCCCCTCAGCAAACACTTCCTGGGGGGCCTCAGTGGGGTGGGGCCGAGCTAGTTCCATGCCCTGCCCCAGATCTCAGACCCACCAGGACAGGGACTCTCAGAGCTCCTGGCTTGTCGCCAACCCCTGGGCTCGTGTAGGGAGGCAGTGTCCCCTTTCGGTTGCTGCCCGCTCTGCCTACATATGCATGTAGCAGTCCCTCTCTGTCACGCACACGCATGCATGCCAAAGTCCTGCTGTTTTACAGGCACACACATGCAGCAGCTCCTCTCTCTCATGCATACACATGCATGCCGCAGTCGTGCTGTTTCACACGCACACACGTGTAAACAAGAGAGTTAGCCGCGGACATGAACACTTCGGCCAGCAGACTCACATGGCCACTGTGTGCTTCCCCTGTCCTGTGGGCCTCTGAAACCATGCCTGGTGCTGAAGCATGGCTCCTGCCCCCGGGGCACGGCCTTCATAGATGCCTGAGTGCATTGCCAGGTGCCGTGTTGACAAGTGCAGCAGGCCAGCGGGTACACGCGAATGACGGAGTGGAATGTCCTGTTTCATGGCGCCTCCACACCACATAGGCCCCCTGTGGGCAGCTCTGACGTTTCTGGGACCTGGGGTTAGGGGGGTCATGGGCTGGGAGGTGTCACCATGATCCCACCCTGTAGGCTCTTTGCAAGGCATCAGAGACTCTGGTGGCTGGCCAAGCCGGCTGCCCCTGAGACCTGACCACTGCCATCCCTGCAGGTGCCTGACCAGCATTTCCCCACCCTGCTGTCCTACCTGGAGGGGCTGCAGGGACACGCCCGTGAGCTGACCGTGCAGAAGGCCGAGGCCCTGATGCGGGAGCTGGACACAGAGGGCGGCCAGGACCCCCCACAGCAACTGCCAGTGAGCCGCCTTCGGCAGGTGCTCCAGCTGCTGTCTTAGAGGTGGTCCTGCGGGAGGCACTGCCCGGGAGTCCGGCTTTGCAATAAAGAGGCTGAATGGACTGCCTCCTGCATGCTGCCTCCTCTGTTCATGGCAGGCAGGAGCCTTCCCAAGGGGCTCACCCTGGGATCAGGGGGCTCATCCTGGGATCTGGGGGTCTCAGAGCACTTACCCTAGGTCTGGGGGGATCAGGGTACTCACCAGGATCTGGGTGGTTCGGTTCAGGGAACTCACCCTGGGATCTGGGGGGATCAGAAGACTCACCCTGGGATCTGGGGAGATCAGGGCACTCACCCCGGGATCTGGGGAGATCAGAGGACTCACCCTGGGATCTGGGGGTTCAGGGCACTCACCCCCAGATATGGAGATCAAGGAACTCACCCTGGGATCTGGCGGGATCAGGGCACTCACACCAGGATCTGGGTGGTTCAGTTCAGGGGACTCACCCTGGGATTTGGGGGGATCGGGGCACTCACCCCGGGATCTGGGGGGATCAGAGGACTCATGCCGGGATCTGGGGGGATCAGGGCATTCACACCGGGATCTAGGTGGTTCGGTTCAGGGGACTCACCCTGGGATCTGGGGAGATCATGGGACTCACCCTGGGATCTGGGGATCAAGGGACTCACTCTGGGATCTGGGAGGGATCAGGGCACTCACCCGGGATCTGGGGGGATTGGGGGGATAGCCCTGTGATCTGGGAGTTCAGGGCACTCACCCTGGGATCTGAGGGGTTCAGGGGTCTTATCCCGGGATCTGGGGGGGTTCAGGGGACTCATCCCAGGATCTGGGGGGGCTCAGGGAACTCATCCTAGGATCCGGAGGGGCTCAGGGGACTCACCAACACATGAGCTGACTGATGGGGATCCCCTCACTCTCTGGAGCCTCTCCACAAAGGGACAGCCTGCGTCCCCTCCCTGTCCCCAGATTCTGGCCTCCAGAGCCTCGAGAAGCAGGCACTGGCCCAGGAGGAGTGAGGGTGGCATCCTGAGGGACCTGGGAGTGGTGCCAGGTATGGAGAAGCACGGGAGGGTGGGGGGGAGGACGGAGACCACCTCTGCAGCAGCAGGACCCCCTGGCATCCATGTGCCTGTGGGCTCCCCTGGAGGTCCATGCCACAGTGGAGAGGGGCAGGAGACCTCATGGCCCCAGTGTGTGCAGCACTGCTGTGCCCTCCTTGCACCCCACCCGAGCCTGGGGCTGCCTGTGCAGCCACCCCAGAAGAGGCAGAGAAGAGGAGCTCCTGCCCCAGGGGGCCTCCCTGTCCACCCCGCACTGCCTGCACAGCTCGCTGGACACGGCCCCGGGCACCAGGCAGGATTGGAATCTGTGGGTGCGCTCTGCCCGTGGGGAGGAAGGGGTCGTGCATGAGACCACGTGGCCTACCAGCAGGAAGTTGTCTGGGAGGTGAGGGGTGGGGCTAGCTTATTGGGAGGATGGAAAGTTCTGGAATGTCTGGGATTGTGGCTCAGGGCTCTCTGCAGGTGGGACCTTGACCAACACAGAAACTTGGTGTGAAACATCCAGTTTTTATAACGTCTGTTTTGGGGTGCTGAGAACTGAAGCCCAGACCAGCTACATGGACATAGGTGTTGGGGCCACCCTGTGGCTCTGGGACACCCCTGGGCACCTGCACCCTGTTCTCTTTGGGTGCCCATGCCCAGTCCAGCGCTGGCAGTGCTGCCACGTCTCACCTCAGGGTGCCTGTGTGACAGGGCAGCCGGATGGTTTCCTGTGTCTGCTGTTCCAGAACAGTCCGTGTCACTCCGTCACTCCAGGGGCTCTGGGTTTCCACCCAGAAAAAGTCCATTGCTGCTCTGCCCCCGCATGGGAATGGGTGGACAGTAGAGCAGAGACCTCCCCAGGCCAGGAGCCAACACATGAACCACGCTGTGTGAGCCTGCACCAGGCTCCCGGGACCCCCCCCCCCCCACCTGTTGTGGGACCGCCCTGCGTGGGCCTGTGATCCCCCCCACACACACACACATGCTGACAACATGGGAGAAGGAGAGGGGGTGGAAGGGGCTCCTGAGAAGGGCCCGTGTCTGGGGGTGCGGCCCTGTCTGCAGCCCCCACACTGGGCTGGCCTGGGACCCGTGGCTGGCTAGGCAACTCAGCGCCACTGGTTTCTAGGCTCAGCGCACAGGGCCTGGGCGGGCGGCCGCATGGTAAAGGCGGGGGCAGAGGTGGCATCCAAGACGGGGCGGAGGCCAGGCGCGGGGCGCAGGCGGTACTTGTGCAGGAGGCCGGCGAACAGCAGGAACAGCTGCAATGTGGCCAGGCGCTCCCCCACGCACACACGGCGGCCTGTGGGGAAACCAAGGCGCGAGGGGGGAATAGCCTGGGCTGGCCTGTGGGGGGCTGCTAGGGGCGGGGGGGGGGGGGGGGAATGCAATCCAGAGGCGGAGACAGCGCCCACCTGCGGAGAAGGGCAGGAAGCGAGGGGGGAATAGCCTGGGCTGGCCTGTGGGGGGCTGCTAGGGGCGGGGGGGGGGGGGGGGGAATGCAATCCAGAGGCGGAGACAGCGCCCACCTGCGGAGAAGGGCAGGAAGGCGGCGCGCCGGACGAAGCGCCCACGTGTGTCCAGGAAGTGGTCGGGGTTGAACTGGTCCGGGGTGGCCCACTGTGTCTTGTCCAGGAGCACGGAGCTCAGCAGGAGCAGCACCGGCGTGCCCTGTGGGGGGCGGTAGTGTGGGCACCTCGGGCGGCCACCGCCCCCCCATCCCCGGCCCCGAGGGCCGCCGTGTAGGGACGCACCTTGGGGAGCAGGTAGCCGCCCAGCGCGGTGTCTGCAGCCGTGCAGCGCGGCACATGTGGCAACAGCGTGATGTAGCGTTGGACCTCGTGCAGCACCGCGTTGGTGTAGGGCAGCAGCTGTTGGTCCTCTGGCCGTGGCGGCCGCCCGGCACCCAGCACTCGGTCCAGCTCCTCCTGCACCCGGCCTGCCGAGAGGGAGCCGAGATGCGGGATACCTGCCATGTGCAACACACACACACACACACACACACACACACACACACACAGCCGGGCGCTCACCCTGCACCTCCAGGTGCTCGCACATCAGGAGGGCAGCCCACTGCAGCGTGGCTGCGCTGGTCTCGGTGCCAGCCATGACCATGTCCAGGGCACAGGCCACCATGTCGGCTTCGGAAAACTGGCCTTCGAGGTCATTCTGCAGGGGCAGGTGCCAAGACTGGAGGGCAGAGGGCCAGACGCCCGCCGCCCTCACCCTGGTCCCTTGCCCGGGAGGGGGACAGCCCAGCCTCAGCCCCCGGCGTCCCCACACACCTGGCCCTTGTGCAGCAGGGCGTCCATGTAGCTGGGCGAGGCTCCTGGCATGGGCCTGCCCCGCAGGGAGGCTCGCAGGATGGCGCGCACCTGCTCGACCTTCCGCAGCAGGGGGCGGTGCAGCTGCAGCAGCGTCCCCAGCCGCGGGTAGATGTTGAACAGCTGTGCAGAGGCCAGCACGGGCTGAGGGCCATGGCAGGGGCCGGCCGTGGACCGCCACAGGCAGGAGCACAAGGCCTGGAACATTCTGTGGCCTCCACGCTGCCTGCGGGGCAGTCAGCTGACCCCTGCTCTCGCTCCCCTCTGGGGGGCTCAGTCAGACCTTCCTGCCCACAGTCCTCAATAGGGGACGTCGCTAATAGCCCCCATGGTCTCCTACTGTGGACGGCAGGGGCGGGAAGGCATGTGGGCCTTGCCAAGGTCGGAGGCCCACTCTTGCCCCCCCCCCCCCGGGGCAGGATGATGGCCCCATGGGGGACCCTGTCCTCAGAAGACCCCTCTGCGTGGAAACAGGCAGGTCAGGATGTGTCGGGGGACCCTGTGCAGGAACGCAGGGTGGGACAAGGGCGTGCCCGGGCTGACCCTTGGCCCTGCCCGAGACCGCCACTACTTCCCCGAAAGGTCAGGTGTCAGGCCAGGCCGTGGCCTTGTGGGACGGTTTCCCTCACCTGCAGGGCCGGGGTGCCCAGGAGCACCATGACGTCCTCCACGAGGTCCAGCAGGGACAGGAACACGGGGTCTCCATAGTCGAAGCGCCGGCCGAAGAGCAGCGCGAAGGTGACGTTGGAGGGGCCCCAGCCCAGCAGGCGGAGGGGGAAGGGCCGGCCTGGGGCAGGGGTCAGCCTTAGGGGCGGCCTGGTGGCCTGCTGCAGGGGCTCGGGGTCCAGCCCCGCACTCACCTCTGTAGCCGTCCAGCAGCTTGGACAGGCAGCCCAGCTCGCTCAGGACCAGGTCGGCCCCGGGTCCTCGCCCGGCACCCAGGTGCTGCAGGGCAGCCACAGTGAGCTGCCGCGCCACCCTCCAACGCCTCCCCGAAGAGAAGAAGACGCCTGCGGGGGTGGGGGGGGCGGCACTAAGCACCTCGGGCCAGGCAGGGGTCCCACCCTGGGGTCCTGTGCACTCACCCGCACCCCCCTGGATCCGCTGGAAGATGGCGATGGGGGGTCTGTCGGTCAGCGCGTGCCCCGTGGCCAGCAGCGCCTCCCGCACGGCCTGGTACCCCCGTCAGCACCACGGTCTTCTGCGTGCCCAGGTGCACGGTGAACACTGGCCCATAGCGTGCCGAGAGCTGGGGGCACCGAACCTTTAGCGCAGGCCCAGGCTGGGTCCCCTGACTGAGCACTGGAGCCCCCAGGGGCAGCGCATGGTGGCCATGGGCCTGTTCTGAGAACTGGGCACGCCTGGGGATTCCCAAGCCCTGGGGATAGCAGCGCCCCTTTGTGCTGTGGTTGTCAGACCAACAAAGCCCAGCAAGGGCTGGCCCAAGGCGACAAGTGACCACACCACCAGGCCCAGTTTCTCCAGCAAGGCCCCAGGGCCCCACCGCCAGGCTGGGCAGAGTAACACCAGCAGCGCAACCTGCATGCCCAGACCCCTCTTCACTGTGTCCCCAAGTCCTGCTGCTCCTCTTGCTGAACCCCCCCCCATGCTGCCTCCTCCAGGGAGCCCTCCTGCCCTGCTCCTACCCACAGGGTTGCCCGACAAGAGTCAGCTGCAGGGCCTGCACCCTCACCTCCATCAGCGAGCGATCCTGCTGGGTGACCCGCAGCAAGTGTAGGTTCCCAATGAGTGGCAGTGGGCGTGGCCCTGGGGGCCAGCGGGGGGCTGGTGAGGAAGCTCTGGGGTATCCCCACAGCAGCCCCCACAGCCCCCCGAGCCCCAGAAGCAGCAGGAGTCCCAGGAAGAGCAGGGCCATGAGGAAACAGGCTGGGGCCCAGCTCCCCACCCGGCCCCAGCGGCCTCTGGGCGGAGGGCGTGCCGTACCCCACCCTCCCCCCACCCTCCCGCAACCCCGAGAATGTGGAACGAGCAGTTTGCAGGGGCAGCCGCGCTTAAAGTGACAGGCGGCTGTGGAATGCGAATGCGGGGTCCCAGGGCCTCTGACTCCCCCTTGTACCCCCCTGGACTCCCCATACCTGCCACCACCTGCGAACACTTTCCCTGGAGGGCAGCCGCCACCCTACAACCAGGAGGGCCAAGGGGTGAGCGCCCCCAAGCACTGCTGTGGATCCCCAGATTCTGGTGCCTGCAGGAGGGGCCATGGGGGGCTCCTGACACCAGAAGTGGCTGGACCTGTCCCAATGGGAGACCCCCCCATGTCCCCTGCCACCCCCTACACACCCCCAAGGCCACTACTGCTCCCACTCACGCCCCCATGGCCTCACCTTCAGCCACACCCCGTGGATGGGGGCCCCTGTCAGATCCAGGGACAGTGGGGATGGGTCCCCTGACTGGGTCCAGGGTCTCAGGCATGTCCTAAGGCCTCATGATTGTGTGTGTCCCCGGGTTGGACACTGCACGGAGCTGGGGACAGGACCTGGGGACTTGGGGCCCCGAAACGTGCTTCGGTTGGGGGCAGTGGGGTGGGGGGGAGCAGCAGTGGGTCCCAGGGAATGTTCTAGGAGGAGGAACAACCCATGTAGAGCCTGGAAGGAGTAAGCGAAAGGGGGGTGTCTGGGTGGGGAGGAGGCACACCTGATGGCGGCGGGGCGCTAGAGCCGGGGGCACAGGGTAGAACCCCATTCTCCTCTTCAGTTTCTTCAGAGGTGGAGGCTGGGAGGAGCTGCCTGAAGCACTACCAGGATCCCCCCCAGCCCCCCAAGGGAGGAGAGGGAGCCCTAGTGCAGCCATGCACAAGGCCGACCCTGGTTCAGTGCCCAGCACCCCAAATAGTTCGCGAGCCCCCAGGAGTGAGCCCTCCAAACACCACACCAAAAGAAGTGGGGCCTTCTGTAAGGGCCCCCGTGCTCTGGGCTGGGGGTGCGGCCGTGGGGAGTGTTTTGGCTCTCCGGGTCCCCCTTGGTGTCCTTGGAGGGACCCGTCCCTGCCCTGCACCTTCCCGCACTTTTGACCTTGCCTGGCTGAGGTGCTCGCAGCACCCGTCTTTGCAGACCCCCCCACCCCTCGCTGTGCCATCCTGCTCCCGCCACTTCTCCCCCACACACACCAGCGTCCCCTGGTGGTGCAGGAGTGCCGCGCTGAGTGGAGTGGGGGGCTGGAGCCAGGGGACACTCGGGGAGCACTGCAGCAGAGGGCCCGTGCCTGGGAGGCAGGCGCCCAGGACGCAACTGGAGAGGGCATCTGAGGTGGCTGCCCAGGAGTGAGCGGCCGGACCCTCTGGCATGCCCCCTCGGCAGGCAGGTGCTCGGTCGCGTGCCCACGGGTCGTACGCGGCTTCCCGCTGTGCCCTGGGCTGCAACCCTGTGAGCTCCCCAGTCCCCACTCGGTGGTGATGGCGGGTCTGCAAAGGCTTGTCCGGAGGGTCAGCTGGCAATGAGGCTGGGAAGCGCTTGGACTCAGTAGCAGGCCAGAGCCACTCCTGGCCAGGTCAAGGCGCCACAGGGGCGCCGTGGGGCGGAGCCGTGAGCGGACGTGCGGGGGGGGGGGGGGGCCTGTGGCGTGGCGTGGCCGTGGGCGGGGCCTGCGACGGGGCGGAGGCATGGGCGGAGCGGGAGGCTGTGATGGGGCGGGGCGGGGGCGGGGCCTAACGTGAGGCGGGACTGCGGTTGGGGCGGGGCCGGGGCGGAGCCTGCGATGGGGCTGGGGCGGGGCGGGCTCGTGATGGGGCGCGGCCGGAGGCGGGGCGCAACCCCTCCAATACCGGCCGCTCGACCTGCTCGGCGCTCGGCCGGCCGCCCTGCGCATGCGCGCTGGCTGCAAGTGTCGGCTGCGCCACCATGTCTACCGCCATGAACTTCGGCTCCAAGAGTTTCCAGCCGCGGCCGCCGGACAAGGGCAGCTTCCCGCTGGACCACTTCGGTGAGCGGCTGGGGCCCGGCGCCGTCTCCGTACTGCCCGGCCCCTGGCCCGGCCCGTGAGGCTGCCGGACCCCGGCCCGGTCCGCCCCCGCCCGCGGCCCTGGAACCGCCCCGGAACTGGCCTGGAACCTCCCCCGACCCGATCCCGCCCCGCCCCCGGAAACGCCTGGAACCGCCCCCGGCCCGCCCCGGCCCAGAACCGCCCCCGATCAGACCCCGCCCGGACCCCGGACCGCGACCCCGCCCTGACCCCTGACCGCGATCCCACCCCGATCCCTAACTGGGACTCCACCCGGAGCTGCCCCTACTCTGGCCTGCAGAGGCCAGGAGCGCCTCAGTGGTTCCGGGCCGGAGGGAGGAAGCGAGGGCCAGGCTACACGCCTTTGCACCTGCTGCAAGAGTGGTGCTGGGTCACTGGGTGCTCATTCCGTCTGTGCTCAATCATCCCAGGCTCGGTCATTCGGGACTCGGTTACTTGGTGCTCAATGCTCAGTCACTCAGTGCTCGTCACTCTGGCCACTGCCGGCAGGAAACTGGTTTCTCTTTGTTCCAGGTGAATGTAAAAAGTTCAAGGAGAAATTCATGAAATGTCTTCGTGACAACGATTTTGAGAACGCAATGTGCAGGAACGAGTCGAAAGAATACTTAGAGTGCAGGATGGAGAGGCAAGTACCTCCCGGCCCAGCACTGTGCCTCTGCTTGGGGTGTGCCGGGTGTGGCACCTGCATCCTGCGCCTGCCTGCCTGGGTGTCTCTGAGCTGTGGCATCCCTCCCACAGTAGTGCAGGGCACCCTCCGGGTCTCGGGCTGGCCCTCAGGAGAGGGAGCTGTAGTCCATGCACTGTGGGTGTGGCTGCGGGTACCAGGGCCAGCTGGGCATCGGGGGGGCTGTGGCCCAGGGCAGCCTCTCCCGGCCTCAGCATCTCTGAGGGGGACAGTGACTGGTGTTTCTGCCTAGAACATCGGCTGTGCCCAGGGTAGTTGGACCTCTTAGGGACCCCATTTCAGTGTCCGCACACACACTCATTTTCTCACAAATATATATACACATCCACACTCACACACACTCACGTCCATACTCACACGCTCATCCACACACAACCCTGACTCACACACGCTCACGTCCACATTCACATCCACGCTCACATACTCATTTCCTCTCGCATATATATATATACACACACACACACATTCATATCCACACATCCACACTCACTCATATCCACACACACCCTGACTCACACTCACGTCCACACTCACACTCATCCACACACACGCTGACTCATGCTCACATCCACACTCACACGCTGATTTACACATACACACATACACCACTCACACTCATATCCCTACTCACTCACATCCAAACTGACATACACTCATATAAACACAGTCATATTCACACTCTTTTTTATTTGTGTTTTGGCTGACACCCAGTGATGCTCAGGGATTACTCCTGACTCTGTGCTCAGGAATCACTCCTGGTGGAACTTGGGGACCACATATGGATGTCGGGGAGCGAATTGTTGTTGCTTTACCTTCTAATACTATTGTTCCAGCCCCGACATACTCATAAATGTTTTTTTTTTTGGGGGGGGTACATGCATTGGTGCTCAGGACTGACTCCTGACTCTGTGCTCAAGGATCACTCCTGGTGGGACTCAGGGAACCATATAGGGTGCTGGGGATCAAACCTGTGTCAGCTGCTTGCAAAGCAAGTGCCTTCCCTGCTGTATGATCATTCTGACCCCATCCCTCATACACTCACACACTCTTTATTATATATATTTTTATTATATTTTAATGTAGGCGTTCACGTTACTTATTTTAAAAAATATTTTATTGACTGCCTGTGAGATAGACCATTACAGAGTTGCTGTTGATTGGGTTTCAGTCACACAATGATCCAGCACTCATCCCTCCACCAGTGTACATTTCCTACCACCAATGTCCCCTGTTCCCTCCCCCTACCCCCCACCACCATACCCCCCCATCCTCAGCCTCCCTCTATGGGAGGCGGTTTCCTTCTCTCTCTCTCTCTCTCTCTCTCTCTCTCTCTCTCTCTCTCTCTCCCTCTCCTTTTCCTTTTGTGCATTATGTTTGCAGTACAGATGCTAAGAGGTCGTCGTGTGTGTTCAGGGCATTCGTTATTTGTATCGGAATGGTAAGGCTGGAGTAGCTTTTCAATTGGGTGGCAGCTTTGGGGTGTGAATGTGACTGCTGAGGCTTCCAGAAGTGCAGGGAGGTTGGGGAGGTAGCCCATCCCGACCCTGAGAAAGCCTGGAGATTTCAGTCACAAAACCCGCATACCTGAATTTTTAGCAGATTGTATCTTAGTGGGATTCTGAGATAGTGGAGTCAGGCCGAGGTTATGGTGGTGATGTTGGATTGTGGGAGCAAGTGGCTGCCGGGGGCTCTGCTTGGGCGGGCACCAGGCCAACCTACCCCCCTCTGATTTACCCCAGTCTGTTCAGCCATGTGTGGGTCCAAGATTAACTGAGACTTTTGATCTCTTTCGAGGTTTATTTATGGGTCTTTGAAGCAAGGCCAGTAGTAGAGCTTACATGGTGGCACTGGAGTTTGTTCGTGGGGGTGACTGCCAGTGCTTCCATGAGTATTGGGAAGTGGGGGGAGGTAGTCATCCCAACTCTGAAAAAGCCCAGAGGTTTTAGTCACAAAACCCACATGCCAGAATTTTGAACAGGTTAATATCTTGGTGGGGTCTGTCCTGAGGTGGTAGAGTCCAGCTAGGGATATGGTGGCAGTTTTGGATTGCGGGAGTAAGCAGCTGCTGGAAGTTCTGCTTGGGTGGGCACCAGGCTGACTTACCTCCCCCCCCACCCCAGTTTACCTCTGTCCAGCCATGCACAGGTCAAAGGTTGACTCCCGCTTTCAATCTCTTTTGAGATTTATTTATGGGTCTGATGCAAAGCCCATAAATGAGCTTGTATAGCTCAGCTGGAGGTGGTTTGTGGGCATGACTCCCACATATCTAACTTTTGGCCGTTTAATTTCTTGGGAAACTTGGCCACAAGTTGTTGGGATCTGGCCGGAGGCACAGCAGCAATTTGGGGGTATCAAGAAGCCTGGCGGCACCATGTGGTGCTAATGCCCTCGCCCTGCAGGTACAGGTTCCCTCTCACTCATACATTTACTCATACATTCCTTTTTTTTTTTGGGGGGGGGGGTTGGGTCACACCGGCGATGCTCAGGGGTTACTCCTGGCTCTGCACTCAGCAATTGAGCCTGGCACTGCTCAGGGGACCATGTGGGATGCCGGGAATAGAACCCTGGTCGGCCGTGTGCAAGGCAAACACCCTCCCCGCTGTGCTATCGCTCCAGCCCCACACTCATACGTTCTTAAACACATTCACACACTCGTGTACGTTCTTAGGTTTGGTTTATTTTTTGGTCATGTCTGCTGTGCTCAGGGCTCACTCCTGGAGGTGCTCAGGGGACCCTGCACTCTTAACTGCCCAGTTCCCTGGGCTTGGCCATGAGAAGCAGCCTCCATTGCTGCGTGGCATGTGGCCTGGACCCCCAGCTCTGGCTTGGGGGTAGTGACAGGGCTGGGCTAGGCTGATAAAGCCTAGGAGACGGGCGAGCCATGGGTCTGCCTGTGGTGTTGGGCCTCAGTGCCCCTCCTGCCCCTGCCTATGTGGGCTACAGCGTGAGGGCTCTGCCCGCGTCCACACTGTCCGTGACAATCCCCTTCCCTTTCAGGCAGCTCATGGCGCCGGAACCGCTGGAGAAGTTGGGGTTTGCAGACCTGGCGGCTGGGAAGTCGGGGGCTAGGAGCTAACTCTGGATGGGACAGGACTCAGAGCCCTGGGCCTGTGCCCTGCTGGCTAACCTCCATGGACGGACACTCTCCTTCCCTTTGGCTCCGGGGCCTCACCTGGCAGTGCTCAGGGCTCATTCCTGTGGTGACCCGGGGATCGAACCTGGGCCAGCTGCGTGCACAGCAAGCACCCCCTCCCCATCCGTCTACACTGCAGCCCTCCCTGTGGTTCAGATGGAGGTGCAAGGCCTGGCCCGGTGTGCCCAGAGGGCGGCGGGAGGGGGGGGAAACGAAGACTTCCGGTGGTGGTGATGCCGTCTGGGTCCTTGGCTCTTTCAGGGATTCCAGCGCCTGGGGGGCAGCCTCTGCCTGCTGCTACCCTGCACCTGCGCCCCACCCCACACCCCTGCCCCCAGCAGACCCCCTCCCCCCCCACTCTGGGGAGATTCTGCAACCACCGACCACCTGGAGGTAAGGCTGACCCTGCACATGCTGACTCAGTGCCTCGTGGCCACAAGACCTGACACCCCACTGACCCAGAAGTGGGGTCCACAGGCTGGGGGTGTGTCTGCTCCCACCTGTGAGCACTCCTCACACCTTGGTTTCTAGAATTCTCCGACTATTTGAGTATCAGAATAGGGAGTTGGGGTCTGCTGCCCCTGCACTGCTCACTGGATTGTGGAGGGCCGTGGCTGGCATCCACCCTCGCCGACTTGGAAGCCGGGGGCTGTGACCCCCAGCCAGACCTGTGTGCTGAGCAGTTGCTGAAGGACGATGGACTCTGCTGGTGTGGCCCAGTCCCGGCTGGCACCCCCTTTGTCTGGGACCACCAGACAGGCCTGCCCAGTAGAGGCAGTGCCTAGGGACTTGGGTGGGTGGGAGGACCCCGGAAGTTCTGCCCATGCACTGGCCTCCTTGCACATCTTTGGAGGTTTGACCTTTAAAAATGGAAGCTGGAAAGTCACCGTGGCTCCTGGCTGGATTCTGGGATTACGCAAACTCACTGCTGTGGGTGGAGTCGCCCTCGCCTGCACATTTCCCGGCTCACTCGCTTCCCGGCCTTTGCCAGTCCGCAGGGACCAGACTGGGAGCACCCTGGGAGGACGCCTCTGGCCCCGGGTCCCTGGCATGACCCACAAGCAGATACTGGTGTGTACCAGCGGGGAGGCCGGGGTCCCACTCTGTTGTGAGCATGAGCTCAGAGCAGACCCCCGGCTCCAGGCGGGAGCTGGGGAACTGCCCAGAGCCTCAGCACTCCCACTGGCATGGCCATGGCCACCAGCGTCAGGGGTCCTTGTGGCTGTGACCACCTGTCCCGCACACTGTGCTCCAGTTACCTGGATGCTGGGCTCAGCAGGCAGAGGACACAGCTGCTAGCACCTGCAGCCTCGGACGCCTGGCCTGCAGGAGGTGGGGACCCCGTGGAGGGAGCCCCCAGGAGGCAGAGCCCCCTGCCCCTTGGCATCCCCTTTGGCCCTGCCCTGTGGCTCTCAGCTGTGCCATCCCAGTGTCCAGCACCCTGGGGCTCTGCTCCAGGCTCAGGAGGGTCCTGTGAGGCCCCACCCCCAGGCCCTTCCTGGATGGACTTGGTTTGTGACTCAGCCTGCAGGTGGTCAGGCTGTGGGCCAGGGCTCCTAGTGGCGGGGGGCGCTGGCGTAGGTGCCAGCCCAGCTCCCTCCCCTGTTGGGGTGCAACCATGTCACACCTGGGCCAGATGCACTGGTGGGGTGCCCAGCAGCAAGACCCTGACCTGATGGGGGGGTCCCCAGTGCAGCAAGCTCTGAGGGCCAGAGTCTCTGGGTCTGTGTGGACCACCTGCCCCCGCCCCGTCCGTGTGGTGGCAGCAGACGAGGGAGCCAGCTCCATTCCCCTCTGCAGAGGTGGCAACCGCAGCCTGGGGAGGGCCTGCGCCACCCACACTCCTGGCTGTGGGAAGCTCAGCACCGGGGCTTGTGGCTGTGGGACGTGCGACGCCTGGCCAAGCCCCTCCACACCGCATGCGTCTTTGGGGTGTCCCCGGAGCTCCTGCCCTACAGGAGGGTTTCTGGGGGGCTGAGCCACCAGCTTGGGGGCACTGGATGCCCCTCAGCATCTGGCACCTCCCCTGGCTCCTGGGAACAGATGCTGCCACCCTGCTGTCCAGGCCCGTGCACAGCCACCACTGCCCCCCAAGACTGGCATGGGCAGCCGCATAGGGGTGCATGTGGGTGTGTGCCGCAAGCAGACGGAAGGGAGGAGCCAAGGCTGGCACCAGCCCGCCCACCGCAGAGGGGCCCTGCAGGAGGATGGGGGCAGGGCTGCTCCTGCCGGAGGAAGGAAACACACCATGTGTGCGTGTGTGTGGGGGAGGGGCAGTCCCCTGGGAACTGGCTCTGGCCATTACACCTGTGGGTTTCCTGGCCGTTGGGCTAAGGGCAGCCAGGAAGTGGGGGTCAGCCCAGCGCTGGGGCTCCCCCACCTGCTGCCAAGGCCCTGGTCCTTGGTGGCAGTGGCGTCGACCAGGGCTCCTGCGGGGTGTCCCCTGGAGGCCAGCTGGGCCGTGGTGCAGCTGTCCTCGCGCAGCTCATTTCCTGCACTCTGGCCCTCCATTTGCAGCCCTGCACGGTGCAGGCTGCAGAGGGAGGTGATACCCTGTGCCCCTGAGGACGCATGACCCAGGACCCCTCAGGCCTAGGGCCTGGGTGTGTCTGAGGACACAGTGCCCCCCCTCAGGCCAAGGGCCAGGGCAAAAGCCCGTTCACAGGGTGGGGGGGTTCCCTTTCCCTCATGGTGGCAGCATAGGGACAGTTCCCTCCAGCATCCTCCCACAGGAGTCCCTGACCGATGTCACTGCACCCAGGACCAGGGTCTTGGCAACAGGATACGGCAGGCAAGAGGCAGGTGGGGGAATCCCCAGCTCTGAGTTGACCCCCACTTCCTGGCCAGGAAACCCAGAGGTACAGTGGCTGGAGTTGGTTTCCAGGGGACTGCCAACCACACACATGCGCTCGCGCACGCACACACACACACACACACACATACACACACAGTGTGTTTCCTTCCTTCCTCAGGGACTTAGGGGTCAGTGCATGAGGGCTTCCAGGAGGAGTTGGTAGTGCGTCTGAGGAACTATGTTCTTCCAAGGGTCCGAGCTGATCGTGGGGCCCCTGGACGCTGTCCTGTCCCTCCTGCACGGCTTGGTCGTGCCATAGTTCGGTAGAGAAGCTGTGCTGTACCTGGAGGGTACTGTCCCGGTCAGTGACTGGCGCCCAGTGGCTCCTGTGCCTCTCCCCTGGGCACGCCTGCACTGGCTGAGCTGGGGAACCTGCCCCGCCTGGCCAGGGGCTCAGAGAGGCCCCACAGGGCTGGCCTGGGAGCAGGATGATGAGCAGGGCCATCCCCACCCCAGCTGCCCTCACAACGGGAGCTCTGCAGCTGTGCCTTCCGGGGTGGGGGCCCAGACCCCCTGGAAGTGGACAGAGTCCAGCAGAGGGGGCGCTGGGCTAGTGCATCAGCCCTGCCTGTCCCTGGCGGGTTGCGGGGGGTGGGGGGGCGCTCCTGGGGCCTGGACAGCTCCGCACCTAGTCAGCCGGCTCTGAGGCCCTGGCTGCAAGGTGGGGGTGCACCAACGTCCAGGTGGGCACGGGCGGCGGTGGGTGGGGCAGAGGCTCCGACCCTGGGGCGGGGCGGGGCGGGGCGGGGCGGGGCGCGCCCGGGGCGGGGCAGGGCGAGGCGCGCGGGGCGGTCACTCTGCAGCGCCGCTGGGGGCCGCCCGCGGACCGTGGCCGGAGCGGGCCGGGCGCCGGGTCCCTAGGCACACGCTGGGCGGCCGCGGCGGGACACGCGCGGCGGAGAATGCGGAACCGGCCGCGGGCCGAGCCGGCGGGGATGGCGCAGGGGCGGCGGCGGGTGGCCAGCGCGGGGCCCTAGCGGCGGCGGCGGCGGCGGCGCGGACATGGCCAAGGAGCGGCGGCGGGCGCTGCTGGAGCTGCTGCGGCGCGCGGGGAACGGGCGCTGCGCCGACTGCGGCGCCCCGGGTAGGCGCGGGTAGCGTGGGGGACGCGGGGGGCGCGGGGCTGAGTGCGGGGGCCGGGGCCGGGTGCGGCGCGCCGGGTAGGCGCGGGGGGCGCGGGGCCCCGGGTGGGCGCGGAGGACGCGGGCTGGGCGCGGGGCGCGGGGCTGGGTGCAGGGCGTGGGGCTGGGTGCGGGGCGCGGGGCTGGGAGCAGGGTGCGGAGCTGGGTGCGGCGCGGGGCGCGGGGCTGGTTGCGGGGCTGGGTGCTGGGTGTGGGGCGCGGGGCTGGGTGCGGCGCGGGGTGCGGGGTGCGGGGCTGGGCGCGCGCAGGGCGTGAGACTGGGTGCTGGGTGCTGGGTGCTGGGTGCTGGACGCGGGGCTGGGAGCTGGGGCGGGGGCGAGGCGGGGGCCGGGGCGCACCTGCCGCCCTCCCGCCTTCCCGCCCCTCCCCCGGCTGCGTGTGTCGCTCCCGCCGCCTTGCGAAACCTCAGGCGGGCGGAGAAAGAGGAAACGGCCGGCCGGAGCGCGGCTGCGATGAGGAGCGGGCGGCGGGGGCCTGCGTGCGGGGGCGCCGGGGTCCCCGCACCTGGCTGACGTCACGAGGCACCTGCAGGCGGCGGGGCCTCTGCGCCCGCGCCGCGCCGCGCCCCGCAGCCCCCTGGTCTTTGCTGGGGTGGCCCCGGCCCCCCCGGCCTTTGCTCGGGGTGGCCCCGCAGCCCCCTGGACTTTGCTCGGGATGGCCCCCGCCCCGGGGCTTTCCTGCACCGCCCCCCGCGCACGGCGCGCACAGCCCTGGACGGAGGAGGTGCTCCAGGGTCCCCTGGCGCCCCTAAACCAAGGCGAGTGGCTGTCCTGAGACAAGTGGACATGGTCCCGGCCGGCCCCCAGCGTGCCAGTCTCAGAGGCAATCGGACCCAAGGGAGCCCAGCCGCCCCCAAGTGTCTGCCACGCCCCTGTTTTTCCAGATCCGTCCCGCCCGCCGGTACCGTATCGACAAGATGGGGGCAGCCCCACTTGGCAGCCAGGGAAACTGAGCTGGCCAGGCCCCCGGTGTCCACCTGCCTCCCTGCGCCCAGGCCCTGGAAGGGCCCTTCTGGTCCTCCCCACCGTCTCCCCAGCCCTAAACTGGGGCTATTCCTCTTGGGACTGACCTGCTGGGTGGTCTTCCCTGTGCCTGCTCTGGGGTCCAAGCTTTGGGGGAGGCAGAGGAGCCTGGGGGCGGCTCTGTCTGGGGACCCTGGGGTGCCAGTAGTGGAGGGTGGGGAGGTGGGCCAGCCGCTGCACCCATGCCAGCAGAGCTCGGCTTGGGGGTTTTAAATTGCCCTGTGGTAGGACAGAAATAACATAAGGTGGATGTTTCCCCGCATTCCGGCAGTTTAGAGCCCTCACCCCAACATTCCAGAACTCTCCATCCTCCCAGCAGACATTCTGCTCACCCCCTCCCACTCCAGTCCCCAGGGACCTTCTGCAGGTATTGTCCGTGGTCCTCTGAGGTGCCATGTGCAGCTCTGAGGGGGCTGTGTCCACTCCTGAGGGCCGAGTGCAGCTCCAAGGGGCTCTCTGCAGCCCTAGAGTGTATGGACCCCTGAGGGCTGTGTGCCTCCCCGCCTCCCGAGGAACCCTGGGCTGATCCCTCCAGGTGAAACTGGCTCTGCCCTTCTGCCCCGTTGCTGTGTCTGTGCAGCAGTGTCCAGCAGTCCCAGAGCTGTGGGGCTGTTGTCCGGTTCTGCTTCTGTTGTGGGCAGTGGGGAGGGATGGCCCAGAGCTGGCGTGGGGTGGGGTGCACTGCCTGAGGCTCTGCCTGCCGTGTCAGGCAGGTGCAGGCACCTTCATGAAGTTCAGTTTGGTCTGCTTTTCCCTTCCTGAGTTTTAGTTTTATTTTTAAAAATTACCCTTCTGGGGCTGGAGTGAGAGTAAAATGGGTAGAGCATTTGTCTTGCACACAGACAGCTGGGGTTGATCCCTGCACCCCTGGCCAGGAGTGATTCCCTGAGCACCACCAGGTGTGGCCCTCTGCTCTTCCCACTTGTATACGGGCTGACCTGGGTTTGACCCTTGACACCACACAGAGTCCCCCAAGCCCAGCCAGAATTGAGCTCTGCGCAAGCCCCGAGCGCAGCTGGGTATGACCCAAAAACCAAACCAAACCAAAACCCCACCTCACACCCCCTCAAAGAAACCTTTTCTTTTTTGGGCTCTGCGGCAATACATGCAGACATAAATGTGTCCCAAACGCTGATCGCAAGCACAGACCCGAGTCTGTAAATAAACGTGCACAAGCCTGGTGGCTGTGGGTCAGACCGGGGCTCAGGCTCTCGAGGAGCCATGGCCCTGCCTGCAGCGGGTACTGCCCAGCTCCCTCCCGGCCTCCTGACCACTCCCATGCAGCGCGGCTCCTTGCTGTGCCATAGGGACCAGCACACACCCCTCGGCCAGCAGCAGGGACAGAGCATCCTACAGCATCAGGCGGTATCCACTGGGGCACTGCCCTGTGGCGGTCTCCCAAGGGCTCCTGCCACGCCGCTGGGCTCATCTCTGGGCTCTGGCTCCCTGGCAGAGTGTGGCTGTGGCCCGTGGGCCATGTGGAGGTGGCAGGTGGCAGTGATGCTGGGGACCCCATGTAGAGGCCTCCAGCTGTGTTCCCCCTTATCAGGGTTTCTCAGTCGTTCTTCCTGCCACAACTGTACCGGCACTTGGGTCCTTCGAGGTTCCCTGTGAATTTTATTTGTTTGAGGGCGGGGTCCCTGCTGGCCCAGCCTCCTGCAGACGACCTCTCACCCTGCCTGGCTGGCCTGTGACTGAAGAAACGCCCTGGGTTTTGATGGTCCCGAGGGAAGCATGGACGGTCATGGTGGCACCGATAGGCTGCAGTGGGTGCTCAAAGCTCCAACCTGGGCACACCGCAGGTGCCCCAAGGGGGACAGCAGACCCTTCACGTTGCATGGGTCTGACGCCCCATGGTGCCAGCATCTATGCACGTGAGCAGGGGGTGCTCTGTGGCGTGCATGAGCCAGTGGTCTCTCCCTCTTGTCTGGGTTCTGACACACGCCAAGATCATCCCTGCAGGGTATCTGTCCCTGGCCATGGTGCTGCTCTGAGCGTCCGCCCAGCCGGGACCAGGTTCCTGCTGCCTGGACTCGCAGCCCCTCGCAGGAACCTAAGGCCGGTGGCAGCTGCTCCCACCTGTCTGCCTTGAGCCTTGAAGTCTGACCCTGGCGGGAAGGGAGGAAAAGAGGCCTTTGGGTGCCTGTGGCCAGCCTGGCTGCATCAGACTAGCCGTACCGGCTGTGGGGAGCAGAGGAGGTGGGCCCACTGGTGCCTGTGTGGGGGCTGAGGCAGCAGTGGGCTCCGGGCCAGCGCATGGGGGTAGAGGAGACAAGCAGGAAGAACATTCCATGTTCTAGGACTCTGTGGAGCAGAGGAGGTGGGCAGGAGGCTCTGAAAGGCCCTAGGAGCACAGAGGGACCAGTGTTGGGGGGTGACAGGGACGGCCTGGCCTAGGCTGGGGTGGAGAGTGGACTCATAGGCGTCTGAGGGTGGCACTGCAGGTGGCAGAGCTCACGGGAGGCGGGGATGGGATAGGAAGAGGCTGCAGGTTCCTGTGAGGGACGGGAGCGGGGGGAGGGTACCAGGAGCCTGCCATGGAGTCGGGCCCTGTGGGGAGTGCCTGCAGGTAGCGTGTGGACTCAGGACTAGCACACAAGACGGGGAACGGCTCTGGTACTCCTGCCAGGCCGCTTCCTGATGGGCAAAGGGCACAGGGCTTGGCCCAGCCCCGCTCCCTCCCCCATTGGGTTTCAGCTGAGTGGACGTGCCTGTCCACCCCCAGCACAGGCCCACAGCCTTTCTAGTCCCCTCTGGGACCTCATATGCCCCAGGACTCACTCAGGGCTGGCGGTGGGGGGGTCCCCTTGGCAGGTCACGAATGGACGTGGCACATCAGGACCCCTGGCTGGGACACAGGAGGGGCCGGTGCAGATCTGGGAAGGGGGGTGCTAAGGGGTGGGTGGCCAGGCTGGGGGGCAGGAGACACTGCCTGGGCCCAGCTCTACCCAGCGAGGCCCCCACGGGGGTGCCCCTCTGCTCCCGCAGCAGCCTCTGTTCCCCCAGCCCCGGGCACAAAGGGGAAGGAGCCAGGAGGGGCGTCTGCGGGTTCCAGGCTGGACCCTCTGTCTTTGCCTTTGCAGACCCCGACTGGGCCTCCTACACGCTCGGAGTCTTCATCTGTCTCAGCTGCTCCGGCATTCACCGCAACTTCCCCCAGCTCAGCCGCGTCAAGTCTGTGCGCCTGGACACCTGGGAGGACAGTCAAGTGCAGGTACTACCTGGGCATGGCCGGCCGATGCAGGCCACAGACGAGGCTGTAGCGAGCAGACCCCAAGGGGCCCACCTGGCATCTGATAGGCACCACCTCCACCCACTATCCACCTGCTCAGTGCCCGCCCACCTTCACCCCTGCCCATCCACCTCCATGGCCTCCAGGCCTTCTGCCTGCCTATCTCTACCCACTGTCCACAGCCCACCTGCCTCCATCCACTGTCCACTTAGCCTCTCACTACCCACCCGCCTCTGTCCTCTGCCCATCTGTTTCCTGCCTTGCACCTAATCACCATTTATTCTCTTCCTCCGCCACCGACCCACCCACGGACCCCTCATTTGTGTCTTTTGTGGGGTTCAGGCTGGAATCCGGAGCCTCCGCGTAAGGGTGGTGGCCCCCAGTCCTGCTTCTCAGTGAAGCCCTGGGGCGGGGTTCAGAGCAGACCCCCCCAGGCCACTCGCTGGGCAGCCCTCTAGGCTGGCACCCCGAGGGAAATGGGGGGGGGGCTGGGGCCTCAGTGCAGCGTGCAGGATACTGGCCTTGCACACGGCACCCCAGGTAGTTCCACGAGCCCCCAGGAGTTCCATGGAAGGGGCCGGGGACTGGTGGGTGGAGGAAGGAAGGAAATGCAAATCCTGCACTGGCCCTGAGCACCCCCAGGACTGGCCGTGAGCACTCTGGGCATGGAGGTGGCACAGAAACAGTAAATTCAAATGAATTTCAGGGAGAGGCGAGTGCAGGGGGTCACGCTGCTAGCTTGTAGCCAGCCCCCACCAGACCCCCAGCGGTTTCGAGGGTGGTCTCGAGGGAGAGGTGGGTTTCGGGGCCTGGCAGTGCTGACCTTGTGCTTGCTCTTGCAGTTTATGGCAGCCCACGGGAACGAGGTCGCCAGAGCCACGTACGAGGCCCAGGTGCCACCCTTCTACTACCGGCCCACGTTTGCCGACTGCCAGTGAGTGTGGGGCGGGCTCTGTGCGGGCCTCACACCCGGGGGCCCTGTCTCAGCAGTGGCTCCCCCTCCTCCCTGGCGTGCTCACTGGCTGGGCGGGAATCTGACCTTCTCAGCTGCAGCTGCCCCGCCTTTGGGGGCCTGAGGTGCACCCACAGAGGGGCCCAAGGCTTCCACCCTCCACCACAGCTGCAGGTTCGGCCCTGTCACTTTGGGGCACAGCGCCCCCTCCTGGCCACACTCCAGCCCCACCTCTCACCTGTGCTGTGCTCCCAGGACCCTGGACACAACCCCCTCCTTCTCTCCCCACCCTGTCCTGCACTGCTCCCACACGTCTGGCTGCAGAGCTGGGCAGCCTTGGGGAGCAAGGGGGTGGGGCTGGGCAGCTCCATGGATGGCGCCGTGGAAGGCTGGTTCCCAGGTGAGCCCAGGCAGGCTCAGCCTCCAGCCCACTGGGCACTCTGGGTGAATCTAGCCACGTGCATGGAAGGGGCTGGGGGCTGGTGGGCAGAGAAAGGAGGGAGAGGCCTGTTACGCCCACAAGGGTCATCGCCGGAGACTGGACCCGTGCTCTGGAATGTACAGAAAGAGCAGGTGTTATCCACACAGCCCCCGGGACCCTGAGTGGCCCATGCTGGGGGACTGTGCCCCTGACCCTGACAGGGAGCTGAAAACCCCCCACCCCAATTCCTAGGGTCCTGCGGGAGCAGTGGATTCGGGCCAAGTATGAGCGACGGGAGTTCACGTGCCCTGAGAAGCAGGAGCCCTACTCTGCAGGTGGGGCCAACCCCCCTCCCTTCCCCTCCCTTCCCCTGTGTCTGAGGCTGAGCTTCCTGAGGGCTGGTCCCCAGGAAAAGCCTGCAGCGGGAGGCCAGCCTCACCTGTTCTCAGGGTGTGTGGGGGAGCCGCAGGTCACGCATACACGCCCCATCCTTCCTTCCTGCGGGCCCTCCACACATCCTCCCCATGCACGTTCCCCACACTCTGCATGCATTTCCCATGGCCCTTCACCACGGGTACTGCGCAGCCCCCACAGCGGACGTGGCGGGCAGTAGGGCAGCCGTTAGGGGCCGGCTGGGCCCGTGGCTAAGGCCGGGATGGCAGTGCCAGTCCCTCCCCAGATAGCAGGGCACCTGTGCCAGGCGGTGCCTCCACGCCCAGCTCCCTGCTGCCCAGGGGTGACCCTGCCCACAGCTCCTGGCCCCCTGGCCAGTCAATGTGGCCTTTCAGAGGCTGGACAATGCCCCCCGTTGTCCAAGGAGCCGCTGCTCTGCTGGTCGGTCACTGACAGACACTGCGCTTCCTGCCAGGCCCCACCCGCCTTGTGCACACAGGCGCCCGTGTACCTCGGTCTCCCTATGGACACTGCCCAGCACGGGAGGGAGTCGGGAGCACGGGGGAATGTGGACGTGCCAGCCCTGCCCTACGCAGCTCTGCCCCTGCCCATGGGGCCGTGTGCCAGCTTGGCGCTGCCTGGTGCACTGCTGCCACCTGCTGGGCCCTGCAGGGACAGCTGCTGCCGCCCAGCCTTGGAGTGACCTTGAGCCCAGAGGGTTGGTCCCCAGCGCATCCCTCTCATCAGGTGCTAACAGGTGCCCGCAGCTGGGCCAGTCTGGTGGCGGTACCCTCTGGAGAACCCCCCTGACCAGGCCGGGGCTCCTCTCGGTGCCTGGCCAGGAGGGCTCTGGCTTGCTCTGCCTCGAGGGGGCGCCTGAGCGTTGGGGGCCAGTGCCAGAGCAGTTCCCCAAGTCCTGACCACCCTGCCCAGAGCGCCCAGCCCTTGGCCATTAGGGGGACCTTTCAGAGCTGGACAGTGTTCCCCTGGACTCACTGCCCCCCTCCCCCCGTCCTTGCCCCTAGCACCTAGCAGGTGTGGCTAACACCCTCCGGGGCTAAGAGCAGGCCCCACCTGCAGACGGGACAGAGAGAGAGTAGGGACGAGGGGACATGGGGACACGGGGCAGGACCGAGTCCTTTCCTGATGCCACCCAAGGAGTGACCGCAAAGTAGATTAAGACAGACAGGTTTGTCGTCTCTGCTGGCTCTGCCCGGCCCACAGCCTCCCGACTCGCTCTGGAGGCAGAGGCACAGACACAGCGAGTGCTGCATCCGGGTGTTTCTGGGTGCGGGCCTTGGAAGGCGAGAGTGGGTGTGAGGCACCAGGCAGCCTGGCACCGGGTGCCGCCAAGGGCCGTGCAGAGCCGCCTCCCATGACGCCTCCCACAGGCTACCGTGAGGGCTTTCTGTGGAAGCGAGGCCGAGACAACGGCCAGTTCCTGAGCCGGAAGTTCGTGCTGACGGAGCGGGAGGGCACCCTCAAGTATTTCAACAGGATTGACGTAAGTGGAGGGTTGGGGGTGGCCCCTGCGACACACCCAGTCCCACCCCGGGACGCCTTAGCCAGAAGAGGACTGAATGGACTGTGGCCAGCAGTTACCCCCAGCTAGCACTTGGAGGGGCCCCAAGCTCCTGCTGTCCACCATGGGCAGTCCCCCCCACCGCAGCCCAACCCTGAGGGTCAACCTGCCCCCAGGCCAAGGAGCCCAAAGCCATCATGAAGGTGGAGCACCTGAACGCCACCTTCCAACCAGCTAAGATCGGCCACCCGCATGGGCTGCAGGTCACCTATCTAAAGGACAACAGCACCCGCAATGTCTTCGTCTACCACGAGGATGGCAAGGTGGGTGCTGGCACAGCTCAAGTCCTTGTCACGCTCACCCTGGCACCTCTTCCGCTGCACACAGGACCCATGTCCACATCCCCAACATTCCAGAACGTTCCATGCTCCTAGCATAAACTGTCCGTCAACACTAGCTCTGCCCCTCCCAGGCTCCAGCTGAGCCCGTCCCTCACCCAGGTGTGCCCTCCCCTGAGGTGAGACGGACTCCCAGGCAGGTGCTCTCTCCCCCGTCCCTTTAGCTGATGTGCAGGAGCAGACTTGTCCGGCAGCCCTGGTTCCCTGGACGGTCCCCGGGGTCTGCTCCCGCCCCGTGTGGGTCCTGCAAGGGTGTTTGGGGAAATGGCTGGCTCCGGAGCGGCCCTTGGTGCCGGTTTTCCCAGGGCCCCTGGATGTGGGCCCTGGCCCTGGGCCGCCCCCCACTGAGTCTCCTCGACTCGTTCCTCAGTGTCCCCTAATGAGTCAGCTTGGCCTCAGTACTGGGGAACTGAGCAGCCCTCTGCGCCAAGAGCCAGCCTGTGCCTCAGCCCCCACGCTTGGGGCTCTGACCTTGCGGGGCCCAGGCCTTACCCTGTCTCCCACCCGCAGGAGATGGTGGACTGGTTCAACGCACTCCGTGCTGCCCGCTTCCACTACCTGCAGGTGGCCTTCCCTGGTGCCAGCGATGCAGACGTGAGGAGACCCCTGGCCTCCTGGGGTGCCCTGGGCGGGGGTGGAAGTGGGGCCATGCACAGGCACGCGGGGCCCCACACAGCTGCATGCCCTGTCTGCAGCTGGTGCCAAAGCTGTCCAGGAACTACCTGAAGGAAGGGTACATGGAGAAGACGGGTCCCAAGGTGAGCGGGCACAGGGTCAGCAGGGAGAAGGAGGTGTGGGGGTCAGGCCTGGACAGGGGCATGAGGACTAAGCCAGGCAGGATGGGTCTTGTGTGTCCCTGCAGCACACCGAGGGCTTCCGGAAACGCTGGTTCACCATGGATGACCGCAGGCTCATGTACTTCAAAGACCCGCTGGTGAGTAGGGCTGGGTGGGTCGCTGTGTGAGGTGGAGACGGGGAGGGGGGCTAGCCTTGTCCCAACCCCCACTGTGCCCACAGGATGCCTTTGCCCGCGGGGAGGTCTTCATCGGCAGCCAGGAGAGTGGCTACACGGTGCTGGACGGGCTCCCACCGGCCACCCAGGGCCATCACTGGCCACATGGCATCACCATTGTCACCCCCGAGCGCCGCTTCCTGCTGACCTGCGAGACAGCCGCGGAGCAGCAGGCATGGGTGGACGCGTTCCGGAGGGTGGTGGAGCGGCCCATGCTGCCGCAGGAGTATGCTGGTGAGCGGTGAGCGCGGAGTGACACGGCACGGGCCGGGCAGCTCTCCCGGCAGTGGCAGTGACACCTTGCTCTCTCCCTGCAGTGGAAGCGCACTTCAAGCACAAGCCCTAGGGAGCCGGGACCTGGGCAGGCGGCTGCAGCCTTGTTTGGGCCTAGCTGACCTCTGACCCCACGATGCTGCTCCCCTTTGTGGATCATGGACTCGCTGGCTGCATCTGACTTGGGCTTGGTGGTTGCAGCCTTCAGTCCCCCTCCCCCCATATTTATTGAGCATCTAGGGGGAGGAGGGAGGGTGGAGGGAGCCCCCCACAACAGCCCACCTCAGCACCACTGGCCTGCGGGCTCAGGCCAACCCGCCACTGTGCCGGGAGCCAGCACCGGTGCCGGGGGTTCTGCCCCCATCAGCCCTAACGGGGTGGGGGAGGTGGTCAGTCTCACTGGGGGCAGGAGCTGGGGAGGCCCCTGGCCCTCAAGCCTGTGTGGAATGGGGCTCCCGGCTCTGCAATGGGCACTCGAGCTAGGGAGGCCCCCGGACTTGGTTCCCCAGAACAGGGGGCCCCATCCTACTTTCCAGAGGGCTCTGGATGGCCAGTGCCTGAGTCTGAGCAGAACCAGGCCCCAAACCCTTCAGGGCTCTGCCTCATGCCATCCAGTCTGTCCTCTGCCTGCAGGGGCTCAGCGCTGCCCCTCAGCAGACATGTCAGATGGCACCCTCCTGTCTGGGGATCATGGACGGGCTCGCCCGGTGGGGATGCAGCCGAGAAAGGACATGCAGCAGAGTGCAGTATAAAGGGTTTATTGAAACAACAGCCGATGCCTCCCCAGCTCCCTCTGACAGTCAATAAAGCCGGTTCCCTCCTCTCCACGTGTGATCACTGCGCTTCAATCCACAAGTCTTATTTAACTGTGAAAAAATAAAGTGTTTCTGTCCACACCGCTCCAAGGGCCTAGGACGGGGGCGGCGGGCTCGTCGCCCAAGGAGGACAGTTCGGCGGCGTCTCGTGGAGAGGAGCCGCTTCCTGGGTGCCTGTCACCTGCGGAGCTCCCGGCGCCAGGTGCAGCAGGACATCGTGGGCGGCTGGGTGCTGTGCGCAGGCACCACGGCAACCGGCTCCCGGCCAGCCCTCGGCCCTCCCAAAGCAACGAGTGACACGGGGGCTGGGGGAGGAGGCGCACCAAGGCCTGTGCTTTATTGGGGTCAATCCAGGGAACACGGGGTCGGCCCGGTCAGCCCAGCGCCGGGCGGCCACGTGGCCCTTGGCCAGCGCAGACACTGCCCCCTGCAGGCAGCCAGCACAGCCACAGCCCTGAGGGTGAGCGCGCCGGGCGTCTGCGAGTCGGCCTGCGGCAGCTGCACACACGTCAGTCGAGCTCAATGGGGCTGCCGTCGTCTTGGCTGTCCTCGGCCTCCTGTTCCGAGGAGCCCATGAGGCTGCTCAGAAGGTTCCCTGCAAGGAAAGGCACCGCGGCCATCAGCGCCGCACACCCGGGCCAGCACCGACGGAGGCTGCCATGCTGCTCTCCAGCCCACGAGAGTCAGAGGCGGCTGCTGCCCAGCTGCCCCAGGCCCCAGGCCCCACATGTGGCACTGCCAGCAGTGTGAGCTCGAGGGCCAGCTTCACAGGTGGGGGACACAGTCCCGTCGCCAGCACCCCAAGCACATCGGGTGGCCCTGGGCTCCCCCAAACACAGTGGGTCTCCTGTGGCATGTGAGGCCCTGCTGAGAGAAATGACTCCCCACAGCAGAGGCTGCCCGTGGAACGCCCAAGGATGCCAGCACCTCCAAGGGGCAGCGAGGGCCGGGTAGATGCCCTTGAAATCTGCACTACCTGAACACGGTTTCCCGGTCAGGTGAACCGATAGCTTGAGGCTGCGTGAGCGCATGAGTGAGGGGCTGGCCTGGCCGGGCGCCTGTCCCTCACACCACGCAGCCGGGGAGGCTGGGTCGCCCTGTGGGTGGCCTGAGCTGCACCCACATCAGGTCTCTGCAAGGACAAGCCCAGTGTCTGCACCTCGGCCCTTTCCGGAAGGCAGAGGCATGCACACACAGCACACAAGACAGACCAGCAGTCAGGAAGCCCATGGTGATCTCCATTGATGCTAAAAGGGTGCCTGACAAAACTGACCTCCTCTTGTGATAAAGAAAACACGCAGAACAGGACTGGAAGGAAATCACATCCACATCCCAGAGCCACACAGAGCAGCTCTCTCTCTGCCCTACAGGAGACTGCAAGAGTTTCAGGAATACAGCACCATTCCGACTCTGCAAAGGTCAGGAGCTCCAGCAGGAGTGACAGGACAGGGAAAAGAAAGAAATGGGAACGGGCAAAGCCACGCGTCTGCAGGAGGATGCTCAGGTCTTCCAGAGAAGGATTTCAGGCGCCAGAGCACAGTGGGGAGGGGGCCGGCCTTGCACGTAGCCGACCAGGGTTCTATCTCTGGCATCCCATATGGCCCCCTGGCAACCCCGGGCAAGCCGGCTGAGCAGAGATGCCGCCTGAGCATGCGCTGGAGGGTGAAACTGCAGGCAGACAATGGAGGGATACGGCCCCCGCCTAGACCTGGCTCCTGCAACTCTGAAGGTGCCAGGCCTGTGTGCAAAGTGCACCGACAATGGCCACACGCCCAGCAACAAGCAGGCCAGAGGAAGCCAGGTGCCGCGTCCCCCCTGCAGAGGCCTGGCAGTGGGGGACTCAAGGGGCTTCAGCATGTGCTGAGGAGTGCTGTAGTCTGTGAAACAGTCTCTCTGAAACAGCCCACAGGACCACAGTTGACACCTGAGGCAGGAGGTAGCTAGCAAGTGAGCATGCTCAACCCTGATCCACAGCGGGCAGAGGAGACAAAGGGTGTCCCCTGACCCTCCATCAGCATGAGGTGGCCGCATGCAGTAGTCCAGCCACTGGGCACATGAGGAGCAGAGGCAAGAGCCCAAGCCTGCTGGCCAGACGCTTGCACACCCAGTGCACAGCTGAAACACAAGATGCCAAAGCCCTGGGCAGGTCCCGCCTGCCCACCACCTGAGGGGCATCAGGAGGGAGGAGCCCCGGGCAGAGATCAGGGTAGGATGGGAGCAGACCCCCTGAAGGTGCTTCCCACACTGAGTGGAAACAGGCAGGGGAGGAGACAAGGAAAGAAGTTGTGGCCTCCGCACCCGTGTGCAGGGCGGGGGGCAGGGAGTTTAGGGAGCAGCAGGCTCGGGGCGGGCCTTACCTAGCAGGCCACCGTAGGATGAGGTCTGCTTGGGTGGTACCCCGAAGAAGAGCTGGCCAATCCTGTCGAGGTACTGAGGAACGAGAGTCCGTGAGGTGCTGCCCGCCACCCTCACTCCGTCCCGCCCGCCCGCCCCTGGCGGGACCCTCACCTCGTTGTACATGGGGTCCCGCCGGAGTGACGGCTGGTACTGCTCACACAGCACAGTGAACACGGTCAGCTTCCCTCTACAACAGGACAGGGCACACGGCAGGTCCAGCAGGCACGCGTGGGGGCGAGGGGGCGGGCGCTCACTCACCCGTCCACGGCCAGCAGCAGGAACCAGATGAAGTTGAGCAGGGGGCGGACGAACGGGGGCCCATCCTCAATGGACGGGTGTCTCTGCGTGTACGTGGTGAACACGGCCGAGGCACTGCTCTTGTTCTTCAGACACAGGAACCTGAGGGAGGCCGCAGTGGAGGCTGCGGGGAGGGGCCTGGCTCTGCCCCCACTATGGCCTGGCTGTCCAGCCCTGCACTGGCCTGAGCATGTGCCGGTGGTGAAGGGGACGGGGGACCCTGTGTGGGGCGGATGAGGGGTGTCTCTGCCTGTCAAGCTAAATGGTTGGGAACAGAACACCAATGGGGGTGAAGCTGGGCCTGGCCAGGTAGCAGGTCTGAGGGAGTCACAACCCCTATCCCCACACTCCGACAGACACTGGCAGGACAAGCAACCTTAGTCATGGGCCCACTATACTCAAGTGAGCCGGGAACCCCGGGTCCAGCTCGAAGATGCCCCCAGAGAGCAAAAGGGAGATGCCTGAGGCACCTGGGAGGGCGGGGGTCACCTACTGCAGCACGGCCTGGGCCACGAACATGTCCACCTCGCTGCGGAAGCCCCGGGAGGCTGAGTACTCCACCAGCATGTTGGCGCAGCCCTCGCCGTCCGCAGAGTGCAGGAAGTGGTAGCGAGACTCACAGTAGTTTTGCTCTGCAGAGAGAGTGGTGTGTCGGGGCAGAAGTGACCCCTACCACCGGGGGAAGCAAGCATCGGACCTCCTGAGGCCCCCTGGGGGAACTGGGGGCGCCAACCTAGACCTCACCATCCTACCAGTCAAGCTTGCCTGAGGATCTCAGACAGACAGGTCCCATGTGCCTGGAGGAGGGCTGGTCCCCCCAGGGGACCCCCAGACTGCTGAGCGCCCCATCAGGAGAGCTGCTCCCTCCCTTACCTCTCCACAGGGTGAGAGCCAGCAGCTGATGCAGCCGGGGGTGGCCCAGCTTCCCCGAGCCCCCGCCGGACCACTTCAGGGCTCGAGAAACGAAAGCCACGCGCTCAGGGGAACTGGGATCCATCAGGCTGAACAGCTTTGCCAGGTTTTCTGGAAGAGAACAGGCCTCACGCCAGGGACACGCCCGCTTATGCCCCACAAGTACCCCACCTGCATCCCACCTGCACCCTGCTCTTCTGTGCTGCAGAGCCAAGTGATGCCACACCCAGGGAAACAGGACCTGGCCCTAACACCTTTTCTGTACTCCATCCCCACAACCCCCAGCAGAAGGCGCGGCCACGCCCCTCTCCAGACCCCGCCCCCAGCAGAGGGCGCAGTCACGCCCCTCTCCAGACTCCGCCCCCAGCAGAGCCTCACCCAGGAGCTCGTCGGCCACTTCCACCTCGGCCTTCTCCAGGGACTCGAGCACCAGCATGGACAGGTCAGCAGCGCTGTTCTGCTGCAGACCGAACGGGGGCGGGTGGTCGTGAGGATGGGCACAGCCCGGGTCACGAGGAGAGGGCTGAGGCGGGTGGGAGGCAGGGACAGGTGTGCGGCCCTTACCTGGCCGTGGCTGAAGAACAGCAACGCCCCGGAGCACATGAGCTCGCGCGCCTCCACGTGTTTGCTCTGCGACATGTACCTGGGCAGGGCAGGAGCGGCCTGAGTCAGCGCTGCCCGCCACCTGCTCGGAGCCCAGCAGAACCTCCCGAACCCTCAGCACAGCGCGGACCGGGTTCCATCCTATGTCCTGTGCAGTCCCGCAAGCACGCCAGCAGAAAAGAACTCTCCGTCCAGGACGGCTGAGCTCGGGCCGCAGACCCCACGGCCAACAGCCTAGTTACTGCCAGGTGTGAGGAGAAACTAAGAAACTCGATCATCAAGACGACGAAGATGTCCAAGTAGAGGAGGAGGAGCAAAGTCAGGCTACAGGACACCAAAACCAAATCATAAGCGGGCATACTTACATTTCCATAATCTAATGGTCTGACTTCAACAGAGTAGCTGAGCGATTAGGAAACAAAACTGTTGGCTGGGGACAGACTGGGGGCACCCTCACACCTGGCCAAAGAAAGTTCCAGATCAGAAGACAACACTGGTAAATTCTAGCAAACCTTCAAATAACTTACACCATTTTTTCCCCCTCACTCAGCTAAAAAAAAATTGAAGCGGGATTACACATTTTATGAAGATTCCAAAACCGGACCAGATGCCTCAGAGCAAGAAATCTGCAGGCCAAGGTCTCTGACACAGAGCACCGATTCTCAACAGAACACAAGTAAACACACGCAGTCAACGGAGTGCAGCGGGCTCACGCACTGTGACGTGGGCTTCTCTCCAGGCATGCAAGGATGATTAGATGCCTGCACACAGGGGCGAGAGGAAGGACCGAACCGTTAAGGCCACATTGGAGAAGGCATCTGACATGATTCAGCACCATCAACGGTCAACAAAACAAAAGCCTACCAATAAAATGAGGACAGAAGGAAGCTACCTCAATGAAATAAAGGTCACAGACCATGAAACTGTCTTACACCACTCAGTGGTGGAAACCAAAAGCTCTTTCTTTTAGAATCAGGAACAAGGGGTTGGAGCAATAGCACAGTAGGTAGCTGCCTGATCTGCGGCATTCCATATGGATCCATATGGATGGTTGTGAGCACTACCCGGAATATATCCTGAATGCAGAGCCAGGGGAAATCCCTGAGCACCACCAGGTGTGGCAAAAAAGCAAACAAAAACACCCAGCCCAGAATCATCATCATTTGTTTTATTTTATACTAGAGATATTAAATATATATAACGTATGCCTCTCGGAGAGCCCGGCAAGCTACCGAGAGTATTCCGCCTGCACAGGCAGAGCCTGGCAGCTCCCCGTGGCGTATTCGATATGCCAAAAACAGTAATGACAACAGATCTCATTCCCCTGACTCTGAAAGAGCCTCCAATGGCTGCTAAACTCTTAGGGCTGGGAGGAAGAGATGTTACTGGCGCCCACTCAAGTAAATTGTCAAACAACAGGATGACAGTGATACAGAGATATTAGCCAAAGCAATTAGACAAGAAATGAAACAAATCCAGATTGGAAAAGAAGTGAGATTATCATTGTTGGCAGGAGATATATATATATATATATATATATATATATATATATATAGAAAACCCTAAAGATGCCATTTAAAAATCCATTAGCAGGGCTGGAGTGATAGCATAGCAGGCAGGGCATTTGCCTTGCACAAGGCCAACACAGATTTGATTCCCAGCATACCATATGGGCCCCTGAGCATCAATAGGAGTAATTCCTGAGTGCAGAGCCAGGAGTAAACCTCTAAGCATCTTCAGGTGTGGCCCCAAAATAAAAAGAAACAAAACAAAAACAAAACCTGGTACAATGAATGCAGCATCAAAACAACAGCTTACAAAATCAGTACCCTACCATCCTGCATGTAAATACTGAAGGAAAAAAAATTGAGTATCCCCTTTAGAGTTACACCCAAGAATTCTATTACCCAGGGTGCAAGAGGACGCCTGCTCCACCCGAACTCCGCCTAGCATGCCAGGGAGGTGACTTGCTCTGCATGAGACAGACCTGGGCTCTATCCCTGGCACCCCAAATGGTTCCTGAACACCTCCAGGAATGATACTGTGAGCACAGAACCAGGAGTAACCCCTGAGCACCACCAGTGTGGCCCAGAAACCACACACACACACAAAAACCCCAAAACCACTTTTAAGCTCAAAAAGTAGACCTAACTGACCAAGATGACACCACGCTGCAAAGTTTTTGAATACCAAAAGAAACAGAAAAGACAGAAGGAAGTCCCACTCTGCACTGGAACATCAGAAGCTGGGGCAGCCACCACAGCACAGACAGCCTGTCAGGGCACAGCAAGGACACGCCAGCGCTGACGATCACGGAGCTCCGTCAGGAATTTATGGTGGATCCCAGCACACACCTCTAAGGGTTTCCTGTAAGCACAGCCATAGCAGGTGGTGCAGAGCCTGGAGCAAAGGCGCCCTCCATATGGCATGGGCTATGCGCAGAGGGCACAGGACCCCCACCAGCCCTGCTGTGTATTCCCCCAGAATAGTGTCATCAACCCAGAACAATACCCGCCTGGTCACAAGCACCACTCACAACAGAGATGACCAGGACACAGGGCTGCTAAGAGCTCTAGCCGAGTTCCATCCCGATACCTCCTAGGAGCCCCCAAGCACAGCCAGGAGTGGTCCCTGAGCACAGAACTGGGAGTAAGTGCTGAGTGCAGCTGGGTGTGTCTCCCCAACTGTTTAGTAGCTATGAAACACTCAATTACAAAATTAAAGATTTTAGGTCCAAGAAATTATTTCTGTTTTATGCCACATCTGGCAATCCTCAAGGGCTTACTCCCGACTTCGCACTCAGGAATCACTCCTGACGGTGCTCAGGGGACAAATGGGGTGCTGGGGATCGAACCCAGGTCAGTGTATGCAAGGTAAATGCCCTACCCGCTGCATTATCACTCCAGCTCCTCAAGAAATTATTTTTACAAATAATTAAATTAGGGTTGGAGAATCGGTACAGGGCAGGGCCTTGCCCACAGCTGACCCAGGTTCCATCCCCAGCAGCACAGAGGGTCCTCTGCGCCCTGCCAGGAATGATCCCCGAGCACTGAGACAGAACAGCTCCTGAACAACAACAGGTGTGGCAATAAAACAAATCAAACCACTGGAGCCCAAGAGATCACAGCAAGTACAGTCAAACCGGGCTCAATGTCCAGCACATGATTCCCCAAGCCCTATCAGGAGTGACTCCCTAGCACAGAACTAGGAGCTAGCCTTGAGGACTATGGGTGTGGCCCAAATCACCCTCCCAAATAAACTGGTAGTGTTGGAGAACACTCTATTATGAAATTAATAGCATCTTGGTTGTAAGATTTTTAAAGTTATTTACAAATCAGAGTCTGGAGAGACAGTCCAGGAGTAGGGTGCTGGTACTGTATGCAACAGACCCTGGTTTGATTCTTGAAACCGCGTATGGCACCCTAAGCCCTGCCAGGCATTTTCTCTGAGCAGGACCTGAGCACTGCCGGTGGGGAGTGGGTGGGGGTGGTGGTCCTAACCTCCAGCTCCCCCACAAAAGTTTACAGATTAACCCAGAGGTCCTTTTATCAAAGGACCTTGAATTTAATCCAAGAAATACTCAGGACCTTTAACAACACCAAAGGACGACTACTGGAAGCAAGGAAATGATTCAGAGGGCAGCAGCGGGCACCCAGCAACTGCAGCCTTGTACTGCAGGATGAAAGGGCTCCTGTGGGCCTGTACTGAGCCTGATCTCGCACTGGTGGCAGCAGCTGGGGCTTGGGTGTGGACATGGGCAGCAGCAGAGGCCCAGGCATGGCCATGGGCAGCAGTAGGAGGGCTTGTACACACCACATGTGCACTTTGGGTGTTCTAAGCAAACTGCCACCATCTACCTGGAAAGACAAACCCAGCTCTCGGCCTGCTTCCAAGTGGCAATTCGCCCCTACACCAGAGTTCTAGATGCTTCTACTGGAGCGACTGCTGTTCCATGACATGTTCTGGAACTGGGTGGAAGTGAGAGCTCATGCCACAGAGGGGGGGAGAGAGAGAGAGAGAGCAAGCGAGCGCGAGCGCGAACGAGCGAGCTGCTCACACGCATGCTCAGGGCTGCCCTCTGGTGGTACTCATGGGGCCACGTGTGGTGCCCGGGACCCAAACTAGGGTTGCAGCCAATGCAGTCACCTGCAAGCCTAGCGTCTTCCTCTCCTCTCTCCAGTCCTGGACAAAATTCTAAGACTGTGACTTCCTTTTTCTTGGTAGTGCCAGTAATGGGACCCAAGGCCTCCAAACTAGCAAGCAAAAGTGCTCTGCTACTGAATTCTGTCCCCATTATTACACCAGAGCAATCCCCTGACAGATTACTGAGGCCTGACCCTAGAGCTACAGGGGCTGGTCAGGCAGGTCCGTTCCTGCCACTCAAAGAACTTCCCAAAGACCTGGAGAGACTGGGCCTGCCGACTGGGCACTGGGGCCAACAGGCTGAGCTGCACACTGACTGACCTGTCTGGGGGGTGTGCCTTCAGGGCAGTAGCTCAGTGCCAGACACCATGGTTACACACAGGGTCACCTGCTGGGCCGCAGGGGCCCACCTGAGTCCACTGGACAAATGCTGACCATTGCTACCCACGACCATTGCAGAAAGCTGTACTCAGCTCCACCTAGAGCCCCTGCTTCTCCTGTTCCAAGGGGGAACACCGTGGCCTCTGCATGCACACATGACCCACAAACGCAAAGAACAATCTGGAGAAAAAGAAGAACCTAAAGTCTGCCAAGTAATTACTGGAGAATTGGACCCCAATTTGGAGGACCAAAGAGCTGACTTCATTTTTCCTATGACATGTTATGAACATGAAGGTCAGTATGGTGGGAGACGGTTCATGATCAAAGCGAGCAGACAGTGTGGGCTCGGGAAGACAGCAGGCATGCATGCGGGCAGAGAGAGTGGGCATGCATATGGGCTGGAGAGCAAGTGGACACGGGTGTGGGCAGGAGAGAGTGGACACGCATGTGGGAAAGGGAAGAGAGCGGGCATGTGTGTGGGCAGGGAAGAGAGCGGGAATACATGAGAGGGGAGAGTGGGCACGTGTGCGGGCAGGGAAGAGATCGGGCACATGTGCTGAAATCACACCTCACAAGTGGCCGCCTGTCACTCCCGGTGTCACTGCACACCTGCTCCAGAAAGTCTGACAAGACACACCAGTGAACTGCACGCAGAGCACGGGCCTCTTCTGTACTAACACAGCCCCGCTGTTGCACAGCACCTTTCACTGAATTTGGCCTGGCCTGGAAAAAGGAACCTCCTCTGGTGCCACACCACTGGGGGCCACGGTTTGTGCTGTTGTCTTTGCTCTCCTGCCGTCAAAAGAAAATTGGAAATGGAGGAAGCAGTAATGGAAGCACTATGCCAGGGCTGACGCTGGGTTCCTGAGTGCGAATGGGGACCAACCCCACATCAGTGTTCTGCAGCTTCCCCTGAGGCAAATCTCACCTCAGGAAATAATCTCACCTCAGGAAATACACTTAACGGATTCGTTAGTAAGGTTCGCTTAGACAGGGGCCGGAGAGATAGTATAGTGGGTAGAGTGCTTGCCTTGTATGCAGCTGACCCAGGCTCAATCTCTGGCACCCAATCTGGTCCCCTCAGCCCCGCCCCCAGGAGAAAAGACTTGAACATTGCTGGGTGTGGCTAAAACACAAAAGATTCCTCAGAAGCCTGAATCAGCACAGACTGTAGAGACAAGGTCCCAGGACTGCAGCCTGGGAGAAACACAGCCTCCAGCTGGATTCGTTGCAATGCTGCATCCCCCATCAATTCCCAGCCTCCATGACCACCATGGCCAGGGTGAGGGGCCCGGCAGCACTAGCACCCTCCTGAGCAGCACATGAGGGCAGATGTCTGGGTGCATCTGAATAACGAAGCTGAGTCCGGAGAGTCAGGCCAGGACAAGAGGACTCACCGTCTGACTCACACCAGATTCCAGAACATGCCTAACAGCCTTTGGTGGGAAAGGTGGGGGTGGCAGGAGACTGTAGAGCTGGATGAGGACGTGGGACATACATGCAGGGTGCACCCACCAGCAGCGTCTGGAGAACTGGACTTGTCCAGGGTCGATGCTGGGCGAGGTCATGCCATGCACAGGAATCTCCTGGCTGGCCACTGACACTCCTTCACTGCAGCCACTGGGACCAGCAGAGCCAGGGCTGACCCCAAGTCCCCCAGGAGGATGCTTCAAGGGGCTCTGAGGTGTCCAGGATAGACGATGAACCCAGACGGAGGCTGGACTGAAGGACTCCCACTCCACAACTGCATGGACAGTCCTGCCAGAGTGTCCTGCAGAGCTAGCTTCCACTACAAAACACTGTTTATTTTAGGAAGACACAGATTTGCTGATTAACCACTGGAACAAATGTTTATATTCCAGCCCTGAAGAACAGAGAGCGCCTGGCCTCCCGAGAGCAGCCAGCACACCTAGTGAAGATGGCTCCTCCGCCAGTCAGCTCAGGGCCCAAGTCCATCTCTGATTTTTCTCCCTTAATGCAGCAACCCCCACTGGAAGGCGCTGAGGTTTGGTGGCAAAACCAACAGGCATTAAAAACTCACCCTTGGGGCTGGAGCGATCCCACAGCAGGTAAGTGCTTGCCTTGCAGCGCCCACCCCGGGCTCAATCCCCAGCATCCTGTAGGGTCCCCTAAGCCCCATTAGGAGTGATTCCTGAGTGGAGAGCCAGGAATACCCGCGCCCCCCTTTCTCCACAGCACCGCCAGATGTGGTCCAAAAACTGGAGGCGGAGGGGAATTAACAAACACAAACAAACAAACAAAACCCCTCACCCTTGTTTCAGCAAAAGAAAAACACAGCAGTTCCCAACTGAAAAAGGATGGCCAAGCGTTTTGCAACACAGTGCAAAAGCCAGCAGCACCCTGCCCTGCCTGCGTTTGTCACCGGTCGGCGGGGGGTGGGGGTGGGGGGTAGCAGACAGAAAGTTCTGGAAACAAGGTTGCTCTTCAGCCCTCGGCTTGCAGGAGAGGCCGGTAAAAGTAACATGAACCGCGCGGCGGCGGGGCGCGGGCCTCCCTCGGCCCTGCGTGTGGGCGGGGGAGCGGCGGGAGGGGCGTCAAGTCCCGGGGGCGAGACCTCCCCCCGCGCCATCGCTCCGGGCCCCGAATCGCTCTGAGTCAGACCCTCACGTTTCAGTCTCAAAACCTGGAGAGCGACCCCACGGCAGAGACCCCCCTCCCCACCACCACCCGCCGCCGAGGTGTGCGCCCGGCTGGGCGCCCGGCTGGCCCCCGCAGACTCGCACCCGCACGCCCGGGCCCCGTCCGGGCTCGGCACGTGGCGGGCGGCGCAGGGTCACGGGCGCCGCGGGCCGCGGGCCGAGCCCACACGCACACTCCGGCCCGTCCAGCCCCGACGGCGGGGGCGGCGCCCGGCGGCGGCGGCGGCGGCGCGGGCCCAGGGCGCCGGGCTCGGGGGTCCCCGTCCCGAGTCCGGGGGCGGGGGCGGCGGTGGGCCCCGGGTCCCGGGCCCGGCCCTTCGCTCGGCCGCGGACGGGCAGCGGCGCCAACCAATGGGGGCGCGGGGCGGCGCGGCGCGGCCAATGGGGCGCGGGGGCGGGCGGCGCCGGCGGTACCTGAAGAAGAGGGTCCGGTACATCTGGTGCGCCTCGTAGTAATCGCCCTTCTCCACGCTGGCGCGCAGCTTGCCCTCCACGCGCTGGACGCCGCCGCGGTTGCGGGCGCCGTTGCGGGCGCTCTCCTGCTCGGCCATCGCCGCCGCCGCCGCCATCGGCCGGCGCTGACTCCGCGCAGGCAGGGCTGACGCTGTCGCAGGCGCGCTCGGCAGCGCCTCTCGGCTTCCGTCCGGCGGCCGCCCGACACCCTCTACGGTGGCCGCGCGGGGCCGGGGCGGGGCGCTGAGGGTCACGTGACGGGGCGGGGCCGGCCCGTCATGTGACCGCGGCGCCGACGCCACAGGCGCGGGCGTGGCGTCTTCGCCGCACACACACCACCGGCAGCTGGGGTCCGAGACCGGGCGGAGGTCGGTGTCGGGAGAAGGGGCTGGACAGCGCGTGTCGCAGCTAGCGATGGCCCTTGGACTGGGGGGTGCGTGCTTGCGGAGAGGCTTGGGCACAGACGAACAGAGCGAGGTAGCCCGGACAGCTCTGCCGGCCCGGCCTGACAAACTCGGCACCTGACACCCGCACCTCCAGCTGATACACGCGCACACACGCATGCACGCGCGCACGCACACGCGCTTGCAGCCTTCTCCTGGAGGAAGGTCACCCACATCCAGTGTCCCTCTCACACACCCCGTTGGGCAGAAACCAAAAAACGAAAAAAAAAAAAGATAAATTTTATTATTCATTTGAAATTTCACATGCACTTTTAAAAATTAAAACTATTTAAACATTTCAATAGCATCTTATCAATTTGGCAGCAGCAAAAAGTAAGCACTACCAAAGACAAATATTTTGAAAAACATTTACAAAAATACATTGCACAAAGTCCTATTTTTAAAAATAAATATTCAAAATATTTCCACCCAACACCCAAATTTAGTTTTATATAGGAAAATTTTATATGAAACATCTGTACACATTTATTCATTGTAGCTGCATAGACATTAGTTCCAATTCTAAGAGTGACAAAAATGCTGCTTTGTTTTTTCTGTGTATTTGAGGACCGCTGTGCAATATATGTAAAACTCTCCAGAAAATCAGTCAGCAGCAGCACTGCCGCTTTTTCTGAAAATACAACATTTATGGTACATCATGAAATTCAACCCAATAGAACTTAAATAATCTTTAAGGTAAAACATCTGTAACACTTAAGTGCCTCGCAGATAGCTCATCTGTAAAGTCTGCTCAGTAAAATAGTCTAAATATTAAATATCATAACCAAAAAGGGTCTCAGGAGAATAGGTGAGAATGGTCTCAGTCATGAACTGCAACCCCCAACTAGTGTGGTAGAAAGTGCTGCTATGAGAAAAGTTACAATCAAAATGCATCGATTCGTGAGCCTGGCATACTGGACCATCTCTGAGGAGGAACTGGAGTACATGGTGAGCCTCTGAAAGACTTGGAGCGTGTTAGTGGTTTCAACAAAATGCAAACAAAACCCAAAAGCAGCCAAGACTGGATTTCTCAGTTCCCATTTCTCCTGAGGGTGAGAGGATGCACTTGGGTGCACCTTGCGGAGCCCTGAGAAGCCCAGGTATGAGCCCTGTTCAGAAGTAGACCATCCCTTTCTGCTCACTCCCTACCCGACAACCTACCACAGCACCAGGCTCCCCCATGGCCTGAGGGGCACCAGCATGATCCCACCTGGGCTGGGAAACCCGTTCTCAAAAGTAGGAGCAAAACAAACAGAAACACATGTAAGTGATTTCCTATCAGCTGACATGCAGTACTATGTACTGGTGCTGAATAAAGGAAAACCCAACTCCTGAAAGAGAATTCTGGCATTTGGTGACACCATTTTTCCCTAAATGAAATGTGCATTAGATGTGATAGATGAAAATCTGTGCCCCCAAAGTCCTTTACAGATTGAATAGCAAACCTTCAGGAACATGTCAGCCTTCCTTCATTTCCTTTGTTTCTGATGTCAAGAAAATACAAATGTAGAGATTTATGTTCAGATCCCAATCCTGAACCAGCCAGCCTCTGTTGGACACACATTCCATGAGCTTCTGGTCACGCAGGGAGAGGGATGTGGACAGTCAGCAAGGTGGCACTGGGCACCTTCCCCCACCCCCAAAGATGCTGGCAGCCAGGGACCCCGGACCGGGGTGACGCTATCCTGTTACTCTACAAGCCCCCATCCAGGGAGGGTTCCAGTGTTTCAGGCTGTCCGTTATATACAAAATGTACAACAACGAAGAGTGGGCTTTACTTGATAGGTTCTCCATGAACTCGGAACCGATAGAGACACGTGTATTCAGGATGGCCCCAGTTAGAGAAAATCTGAAGTTCCACTATTTGGAAAGCTCTTTCCGGTCTTTTCTGAAATGGAAAAGAAAAAATTCACACACTTTTGTTTCCTGCTGACACCATGCTTCTCAGCTTTGTCTCTGGGAGTGGTGGCAGGAAATCAGATGCCCACTAAGGACTATGCCGAGATCAGCTCCAAGGGATCAGCAGTCAAGAAAAGGCTCCTCAGGAGAAGGTGCCTGGTACCTGACCCTGGGCACTGCACAGGCTTGGGGAGGGGACCAGGGGCCAGGATGTCCTTACCAGCACATGGAACATCTGCAGGGACTCCCCATCCTGGTCATACATGTACTGTCCCAGCAACGATCCTTCCTCCTGATACTCATTCTCCAGGCCCTGAAAGCAAAACATGTAGCCCTTCAGCGGTGGCCAGGGCACACTAGCTCAAGCTGGGAAGGTTCACACGAGTCACAGCCACAGCACAAGGCAGAGCTGGTGAGGGAAGCTGAGGGGAGCAGAGCAAACCAAAGGTCACAGAGAAGTGGCTGCCCACCGATCGACCACTCTCTGCAGGGAACACTCGCCACTGAGGAGCCCTAAATTGAGAGGCAGCCAGATGACGAGGTGCTGGCGGCACCTGGCCACTACAGGGCAAAGGTGAGGCAGGGGTCATGCTGCTCAATAGGCGTTTTAGCCAGGAGACAAAAGAGCAGATGGGGATGCAGGCAGGGACCTATCTGAAACACAGGGTCAGAAAAGGTACAGTATCGTCTGGTTATTTCCCAGAGTAAAAAAAAGATCTAGGAGCTGGAGAGACAGTACAGATGGAAGGGTGCTTGCCTTGCATGTGGCTGCCTGGGCTCAATCCTAGGCATCTCGTGTGGCCCCACGAGCCCTGCCAGATCCCTGACCACAGAGCCAGAAGTAAGTCCTAAGCACTGCCAGGTGTGGCTCCAACAACAAAAACAAGAAAGCAAGTTCTAGTAGGAAACTGAGGGGATTCTTTGAAATGTTTCTTTCATAAGGGGCAGTATTTCTGGACATAAAGATACGGTGAGAAATGACAGGTTAAGAGCAGCTCTAACTACATACAAAACTAGGACTGAAAACAGGAGGGAGATTCTCAAGGGGCTAGAGCCCAAGTTACATGCCAAGCACTGCCTGGTATCAAGCACTGAGTCAGGAGTAGCCCCTGAGTACTCCTAAGTACTCCAAAATGCCTCCAGACAAAATACATCTGAATGAAATATATAAAACATGGAAACTGAGGTCAGAAAAAGCATGTTTTTATACTACCAAGTGAACAGAGATTTTAAAAGAGAGGACAGTTCTTAAAAGGTACTGCGTGCTAACACACTGGCTTCTGCTGCCAGCAAGGCACCAAGGATGACATGGGCATCCATTCAGGGCACGTCTGCTTTCTCCACAGCCCTGGCCAGGGCACCACTGAGAGTCAGCTCTGATTTACGGGAATAGAGTCATTCATAATAGACAAGCACTGGGCCACAGGCTGTTTATGTGGCATTTCAGAGATGGAAAGAAAAGTGTTCAGGGCTGGAGAAAGAGCTTGATCACATGCTTGCTCATATGAGACCAGGTTCCAGCCCTGGTACCACAGGAGGCTGAGCATCTAGGATGAGCCCCCCCCAAAACAAAATACAAACCAACAAAAAATGTTTACTGCTGTGGAAAAATATCTGATTAATTTTTTTGGCCACACCTGGTGGTGGCCAGGGTTCACTCCTGGTGGGCCTTGGGACACCATGTGTGGTGCTGGGATCACAACTAGGTTGGCTTCGGGGAAGGCAAGCGCCTTAACTCTGCATTCCATGGCCTTAATATGTTTTTCGAAAACAAGAAACAAAATGTTAAAAAAAAAAAAGAAACAAAATGTTGCTGAACATTTATTTATCTATTATGAACTTACTGGCCACGCACGGCAGTGCTGCCAAGACGTAAAGTGGGGCCTGTGTGGTACTCCTGAAGCCACATAATCTGTTCTCAACTGTGGGTTTTTCCCCCTTTCGTTTTCTTTGAGGCTTTGGGCTACAATGCCTGTGCTCAGGGCTTGCTCTTGGCTCTGCACCCAGGGATCACTCCTGACAGGGCTCAGGGGACCATATGGGGTGTGAGGATCAACTTCAGGTTGGCCAAGTGCAACGCAAGTGCCATAACTGCTATACAATCTATTTGACTGCACGACTGTTTTTTTTTTCTTTCTTTTTTTTTTGCTGGTTTGTTTTTGTTCTTATAAGGGGGAAAAGAAGAGAAACAGATTTTGAAAATGAATACAGGCTGGGCTGGAGCGATAGTACAGCGGGTAGGGCATTTGCCTTGCATGCGGCCAACCCGGGTTCAATTCCCAGCATCCCATGTGATCCCCTGAGCACTGCCAGGAGTAATTCCTGAGTGCAGAGCCAGGAGTGACACCTGAGCATCGCCGGGTGTGACCCAAAAAGCAAAAAAAAAAAAAAAAGAATACAAGCTACTGAAAGCAATTCTGAATTTTCTTCCATTCCTATTTCTGTTCTGAAACTGCAAATTCACATGGTCAGTTGAAGCAGCTTCTATGACCAAGGAGACAAAGGTGAAGACAGATGTTTACAGTTGGATGTCAGAACCACTCCTCATAGGACTGTCACCCATTTAGAAACATATGCTCACAGGACATTGTCCCTGTACTGTGAAACACTCTTCAGCACTCTTCAGTAACTCTTCCTCACAGGACACCATCCCTACACTTGTGACACTCTCATCACAGGACACTCTCCCTACATCTGACACTCTCCTCATAAGACACTGTCCCTACACCTGTGGCACTCAAAGGACACCATTATTTATACCTGCAACATTCTCCTCACAGAAAGCCTTTCCTACACCTGTGATAGTCTCCTCACAGGATTCCCTCCCTACACCTGTGACTCTTTCCCCACAGGAGAGTCCCTACACCTGAGAAAATTTGCTCACAAGACTTCATTCCTCATTAGTGACACTCTCCTCACAGGATACCCTCTCTACCTTTGTGACACTGTCCTCACAGGGCACTGTCCCTGCAACCGTGATACTCTCCTTATACGTTACCTTCCTGACACTTGTGACACTCCTCACAAGATACCATCCCAACACCTGTTGACCATCCCTCAAAGGACACCCTCCCAACACCTGTGACTCTCTGCTCACAGGTCACTCTCCCAACACCTGTCCTCACAGGTCATCATCCCTATACCTATGATACTGTCCTCAAAGGACACCATCCCTACACCTTGACACTCCTCACATAGCCCCTACCCTGAATTGCAGGACATGTCTTCTAGATGTATCCTCTGTGGGCTAGTGTCTCAGCTGGAGAGGGAGAGCCTGGTGCACCCTGGGCCATCACATCAGAAGTGTTGGCATGGCCCCATGGGGAGGTTCCTGACAGCGAACGCCCCTAGGCCGAGAACTCACATAGACAGCAAAGTCCTTCGGGGCACTGGTGATGTTGCCTGTGGGCGACAGAGTCTTTGGGATGTGCTCCAAGGTGAAGGCGGTTGGATGGATGGTCATTGACAGCCTGACCACGAGGTAGCCCTGGGAGCCTCTGAATGCCCAGCAGTTTCCTGGGTATATGTCCGGCTGGAGAGACAGCAAAAATCAACAGTCTTAAAAGGCACTTACTCACCTTTAAAGCAGTAATAGTATGAGAAAAGGGAGAAGCCGGTGTTCTCTCTTTTTTTCTGTTCTTATTTTTGAGTCACACTTGGCAATGCTCAGATCTTACTCCTGGTTCTGCACTCAGGTATCACTCCTGGTGATCTGTGAGCAACAGATCTTTGGGATGTGCTCCAGAGTGAAGGTGATTGGGTGGATGGTCATTGGCAACCTCACCACACAGTGGCTCTGAGGGCTTGGGGGAACCATATGGGGTGCTGGGGACTGAACCCTGGTTGGCCACGGGGAGGGCACTTGCATTGTACACATGCCCTCCTGCATCCTCTCTTGACCAAGTAGCTTTCTGTCACCCCCACTTACATTCCTCTAAATTTCTTTCAATAAAAATTACCTTCTTCTCTCACACACACACAAACACACACACACACACACCTAACATTACAGAAGTTTTGCATGGTTAAAAAAATGTGACAAGCAAACTTGAAGGGCAATTTAAGCAAAGGTATTTGCAACTTAAACCTCCAAACCCTTTCAATGAGTTCCCATGAATGAGTTAACAAAACCAGAACTTGGGGCCAGAAGTAGTACAGCAGGTGAGGCCTTGTACATGCTTGACCTGGGTTCAAATCGCTGGTACCGCATATGGTCCCCTAAGCACTGTCAGGAGTGACCCCTGAGTGCAAAGCTAGGAGTAAGTCCTGAGCATTGCTGGGTGTGACCCTCCCCCACACCAAACATAGTAATAATAATAACAAAACCAGAGGCTGGAGCAATAGTATAGCGGGTAGGGTGTTTGCCTTGCATGTGGTCGACCCGGGTTCGATTCCCAGCATCCCCTATGGTCCCCCGAAAATTACTCCACCAGGAGTAATTTCTGAGTGCATGAGCCAGGAGTAACCCCTGTGCAATGCTGGGTGTGACCCAAAAAGAAAAAAAAAAAAACCCAGAACCTTCCAGGAAAATGGCTAGGACACAAACTTTACAGGAAAACAAGTGTGAGTGGTCCTTAAACCCATGAAGAGGCTCCCATGACAGAGGAACCTGAGAGATTCCAGTGTCGTGGGATAGTGTCCCCTGGGGTCAGGGGTAGGCAGAGATGTTTCAGTGGGTCCCTCGGACCTGGGCTCCAGCCCCGTCTCTAAGGTGTGTACCCCTGCGTGTAGTGCCAGAGCACTTGACTAGGCCTTCTGGGAGTCTTGGAGTGGACCGAGGCTGTGGTGGCAGAACCACACGGTGAGCCTGCACATGCGGATAGCAGTAGGCACAGAGCTGGATCCGGGGCTGGAGCCATCACATAGGCAGGAAGGCGTGTTTGCATCTTGGCCAGTGTCCTCAGCCCTGGCCCAGGCCCCAGAGTTTAGTCACCTCTGAGGAGTCACCTCTGCCCAGTCTCTGACAGATTCTGCGTGTCAGCCTGCAGTGGGGCGGTCTCCAGGGTACAGACGGGTCTGCTCCCCAACACCCGGAACACCCGGGACCCCTCTCTGCACACCTCAGTGTGGCACCTCCCTCCCCCATCAGTTATGGAGTTTCCTGAGCACAACTCTGCAACAGCGCGGGAGTGTGCCACCCAGTTCAGGGACAATCGTGCTGTAGCTGTCCTGCAGCTGCCAGTGGACACAGGCGTCCCCACCCCCAGTCCAGCCCTCTCTGGCTCACCTGGATGACGACACGCGGGGACTGGGAGTAGTACCACAGGGGGATGCCGAACAGGCTGATGAGGGCTGTCTTGGTCTCGTATGTCTCCGAGCAGCGTGTGCTCAGGATGCTGCCCCCTACAGGCAGAGTGTGGCTTAGGGACCCCAAGCACTATGCCTCCACTGGTGTCCACGCCCCCACCCCCATCCCTATGCCATGTGGGGACCGCCCTGTCCTTGACCTGCGTAGTTGCACACAGCTCCTGGGGGGCTGGCCAAAACAGCTTCCCACAGGTAGCCATCAGCGACCTCCACAGTCCTGTCTGCACTCACCCCCAGACTCCAGGGCGAAGTCCACCATGCCGGTCTTGTCTTGTGAGTACAGCTTCAGAGCCTTGCTGACAATGGCTTGTGCTTGCTGGACAGGAGCATCAATGACACAGAGGAATGGAACCCAGAATAAGGGACAGAAAAGAGGGCCACTGTGACCAACAGTGGGGCCAGGGAGACAGACTGAAGGGCAGGCCTATAGGGGATGGACACCCACCACCCCCTGGAAATTAGAACCTCTGAGCCATCAGCTGGAGATGGGGGCAGGAAGCCCTGCGGAGAATGGAGCTGAGCCTCACAGGGCCGCGGGGGAAACAAGATGGGAGCCAGGTCTGTGCCAGCCGAGAGCCAGGAACTCAGGCAAGAGCTCGGGCTCTGGAGAGAGCGAGCAGTGACGCTTCCCTGCTCCACAGCTGTGCTGTGCCACCACCTTAGCTCCGCTGCACTTGTAGCACCAGGGAGCAGACCCAGTGCGAGCTCCACTATGGGGCCCATCCTGCCTGGGCAGATTCGGGATCACCCCCCACCCACTCACCGCTTCTGTGATCCCAGACAGTCCTGCCTCGCGCACAGCGGGTGCTACTGTCTCGGGGGTGGGCATTTGCTTTGTCACAGAGAGGTGGTGGCTGATGTTCCTCAGGATCTGCAGCTCCAGGTCCCGCAGCACCACCTGCAGGTCTTCTCTGCTCACAAACTCAGAAGAAAACTTGCGCAGAAGCCATTCCAGGGAGCCGTCGTGCCAGTCACCAGAAAACATGAGCTTTACCGTCTCTCTGACTTGGGCATCAACCTAATGAGATCACCAGGGAAGAGCGCATGGGCCCATCGTTGGACCAGACCATCCTCACCTCCTCATCGAACACCAAGAAATGTATCAGGGCTGCTGACATGCGGTCCCTCACTGCCAGCCTGCCTTCAAGGCACAGTCAACAGCTGCCCAGAGTGCTGGAAGCAGAAGGGCGCACAGGCTTGGGGAAAGTCTCCCCCAGCTCAGAAATGGCCATGCCCCTCACCTCCTCCATACCCGGGCTCGGCCAGGTGGACTCCATGCACAGGTGGCACTTTCCGCACACAGAGAATGAGGCAGGTATGCTCCTGCAACAGACTATGGCATGGGGGAGCAACCGAGGGCAACAATGCTCTGGAGCCCACATCCTCTCCGAGAGTCTACGGAGGGGGCTTCGCTGCATATGCCACAGTGTAGCTCTGCCTGGTGCCAACAGGTTTTTTTTTTTTTTTTTTTGCTTTTTGGGTCACACCCAGCGATGCACAGGGGTTCCTCCTGGCTCTGCACTCAGGAATTACTCCTGGCGGTGCTCAGGGGACCATATGGGATGCTGGGAATCAAACCCGGGTAGGCCGCGTGCAAGGCAAACGGCCTACCCGCTGTGCTATCTCTCCAGTCCCCATCAGATGTTTCTGCTACGGTCTCCAGCAGCTGTTTACATTCATGTTTCTGGGCCACACCCAGTGGGGCTGACTCCAGGCTCTGCACTCAGGAACATCCCTGATGGGCTCGAGGGACCATACGAGGTGCCAGGCCGCTATGTTCATGCTCAAGGCAAACCCGCTGCACTATCGCTCTGGCCCTGCAGCTGTGAGGGTACCCAGATGCCTCCGTGTGCGCCGCAAAGGCCAGCAGCCCACAGGAGCCCCTGCATGGTCCAGTAGGACGAGGCTGGGTGCATACAATGCTGAGGGCAGGCAAACTCCGAGCGGAGACAGAATTCCGCTTTTCCAACACTGAATAGCAGAACAAAGACCAAGCGAGGTGCCACCACAAGCTTATGCTCCTTTGACCCCAAGGAAACAAATCAGTCACTCACACGCTCCTGAATGCCATTTCCCTGCTCACAGCTGCTCTTCCAGTGTTCCCAACCTGACAGCTGTGCTCGGAGATGGGCCAGTTCCAGCTCCAGACGTTCCACCGTGGAAAACAAGCTCCGCTCCTCCTCCATCCCGCTGGAAATTCACAGGGATAATCGCTCAAGGGCCACGTAGGAAAAGCTAAATGGCCCACCCAACCGCAAGTCCCGCAGGAGTGTGGATGTCCAGTCCTGACCTCCAAAGCATCACCACACATTTCTATTTGCTCGAAGCGGGGGCGCTAACAAAATGCTTTAACAGTGCTTTTTGCCTTCAGTGGCAGGTGGAGGACTTCTCTCCAGACTAAAAGCTACTGTAACACTGAGACTTCAGTCTCATATTTGTATTTTGACTTCTCCAAGACAATTTTCATTGACAATTTTCACTGTCAAGTCATCTCAGATACTTCATGGGGCAACAATGGGCAAGCAACCACCCCCACAGTGGCACGGCACAACCATCTAGGTGTATGTATGTATGTATGGCAGTGTGACTGTGTGATTGAGTGTGTGTGCAGCTAAGTGTATGAGTCTGTGCATGTCTGACTGCATGACTGTGTTTGTATATGTGACTGTGTGTGACTGTGAGTGTGTGTATGAGACTGTGTGGCTATGTGTGTTGACAGTAAGGGTGTGACTGTATATGACTGCGTGTGGCTGTGTGTGACTGGGAGTGTGTGACTGTGTGTGTGTGATTGCTGGTGCATGCAGGTGGCACCACCCCAGTGAGCCCCGGCTACTGTGCAGATATGGGGGCAGGGGATCGGGGACTAACACCCCATGTGGCTAGGGATCCAACCTCTGTATGAACCAAAGCTCTGACAGACCCCAGAAGGTAAGTGGGACCCAGACAGGCACAGAGCCAGGGAGAGGTGGGAGCACTGGAGTGGGGGCTGGGGACACAGAGGGGTCTGAGTCGGGGAGGATGGGCACAGAGGACATTGCCCTCTCTAGAAAAAGTGACAGCGCAGGAGTTAACATGAGCTGTATGGCGGCTGCTGAGACAGTGATGGCGAGATGGCTCAAGGCACTGACACACGACAAAGGTGGCCCTGCACAGAGTCACATGCCATAGAGCCACACTTGGGTGACTACCACACAAGACAGCCTGCTCAGGACACTGCGGGGAAGCACAACCGAGGGCAACCATGCAGACAGGGTGCCCTGACATCAATCCCCTGGGATCTGAGCCACCCAGGCCACCATTTCCTTGGGGCACTGGGGCATGAAGAAGCCCTAACTCTTTGGGGCGCTCCAAGGGCCCCAGGAAACTGGCTGGGTATGTCCCCGCAAAGGTCCCGTACATGACGGCACTGATTGATGTGGACACTCCTACCTGGCTGCCTGCAGCCTGCTCTGCTGAAGCTCCTTCTCGATGGCCTGGAAAGGAGAAGACAGTCTGAGAGACACATGCCACATGGAGAACCGAGTCTCGATGAACTCTACAGACCCACACATGGGGAGGAGCCGCTGCACATCGGGGGCTCCCCCTCAACTACAAGCCCAAACCTGCCTGGCGGTGGCGAGTGAGGACTGCTGGGGTCTTTCCAAAGTGATCTTTGAGAAGACACCACACTTGGAAAGGCTGACAGACCACACAGAAACAGCTGGATGGAGGAACAGGGCAAGAGGTTCCGATCACCAGCACACCAGCACCCAGTGTCATGAGCTCTAAGTAAGCTCACAGAGGATCCCCAAAAACAGTGCAGGGTGGGGTGGGACATCCTAGGGCAAGGGGTGAAGCAGGCGGCCAGAAGTCAGGCTCCCCGGGTAGTCCCCCAGGACCCAGATTCCCTCTGCACTATGGAACTTGGCCCCCAAACAGTCCCTTGAGACACTTCACCCCTGCCTGACTCCTGGCCTGATGCTGCACACACTCGCCTTCATCTCCTACAAAGCCCCAGGCCAGGGAGGTGCTGAGAGGCAGAATACGAAGGTGCCTTGCACATGTGAGGCTCTGGGTCCCATCCCCAGCACCACCTGTCCCCCAAAAGGCCTAGAGGAGAAATAAGGTAGGGCCAGATCTGGGCCAGGCAGCCAGGAATGTTAGGGGAGCCAGGCTTCAAGGCCTTGGTATGCCCTGGGCGACACCTGGCTCAGCATTCCCTCCCGCCTTCCCTCCCCACCCAGGAGGCAGTGAGCCAGGTGCATCCAGGTGATGTGAGAGCCAGAGTGGAGGGGGTGGAGGCAGTTAGAGCGAGGGAGTCGCAGCCTGGGGGTGCCCCAACTACCGTCGGAGAGATGCAGGTATTCAGCCCACAGACGTGAGTGCACGCACCTCAGATCTCTCAGTGAGTTTCCGAAGAACAGACTCGAGTTCTGAGATGCGCAGTTCGTGGTTCTGACGGAAAGATGCCATGTCACCCTAGGAAGGACAGACAGGGAGGGAGTGAGGCTACAGGGAAAGGCGCCCTCTAGCCAGAGCAGGAAGCCACGTCCACCCGTCAGCCCAGTGTCAGGCCCTGGTGCTCGAGGCCCAACGTGGCCACAGCAAGCCTGACCCAGGCCTACTACCCCACAGGAGTGCCCTGAGGGGAGGGAGTCTCACTTGTCAGCTGCAGCCCAGCTCATTAAAGAGTAAGTAACACGATTTATACTTCAACAGCATTTAGATTAAAAACAGGCCAGAACAAAGAGATGAAGGCCAGTAGGAAAAGCAAGCCCATGACACTGTGGGGTGAGTTATGTGTGTGACATCAGTCAGTGGTGATGTCACTGACTGATGTCACACAAGCAAGCCCATGACACTGTGGGGTCAGTTATGTGCCGTGACATCAGTCAGTGGTGACTATGACCTTCAGTGGTGTAACCTTTGGTGTGTGACCCTCAGTGGAGACTGTGACCTTCGGTGGTATGACTAACCTTCAATGATTGTGACTGTGACCTTCAATGGAGACTGACCTTTGGTGGTGTGACCTTCAAAGATTGAACCGTGACCTTCAGTGGTGAGTGTGAAATTCAATGGGGACTGTGTCTTTGGTGGTGGCTGTGACCTTTTGTGATGTGACCTTCAGTGGAGACTGTGACCTTCGGTGGTGTGACTAACCTTCAATGATTGTGACTGTGACTTTCAGTGGTGTTATCTTCAAAGATTGTGACCGTGACCTTTGGTGCTGAGTGTGAACATCAGTGGGGACTATAACCTTTGGTGATGTGACCTTCAGTGGAGACTGTGACCTTTGGTGGTATGACTAACCTTCAATGATTATGACTGTGACCTTCAGGGGACACTGTGACCTTCGGTGGTGTGACCTTCAAAGGTTGTGACTGTGAACTTCAGTGGTGAGTGTGAACTTCAATGGGGTCTGTGATCTTTGGTGATGTGACCTTCAGTGGAGACTGTGACCTTTGGTGGTATGACTAGCCTTCAATGATTGTGACTGTGACCTTCAGTGGAGACTATGACCTTCGGTGGTGTGACTTCAGTGGTGACTGTGATCTTTGGCAGTGTGACCTTGGTATCAGTGTTGACTGTGACCCTTGGTGGTGGCTGTGACTTTTGATGGTGTGACCCTCAATAGTGTGACCATGTGACCTTCAGTGGTGAGTGTGACCTTCAATGGTGACTGTGACCCTTGATAGTGACAGTGGTGGGGGGTCGGGGGAGGACAGGGAGATAGCAGAAGTGCCTGCTGCTGAAACAAGACCCGTGATGGAAGAACACAGTGCCTGGCTTTGTGCCACTTCCCACCTTGCTCTCAGCTGTGGCTCAAGCAGTGCTCCCAGCTCCTGGGCTGTTTTCTGGGACCACTACCAACCCCCGGGCCTCTCTGGGGTGTCCAGCACAGGCCAGATCTGAAATCACTTGCTCCTGGTGCTGCTCCCAGCAACCAAGATGAGGCCAGGCCCATGCACCCACCCTGCTCAGGTCCCAGGTCATTACCTGAGTGTCCAATGGTCCGTGGGTGTTGATGACCTTCAGGTGCTGCCCCACCACCTCCTGCACCAAGGCCAGTGTTTCTGCACCAGCCCCATCCACCCGTGCATACAGCTGCTGCAGCAAAGCTGTCAGTTCTCGTAGTTTCTCCTCATGGTTGTGACACTGCTCTGACAGAGACGTTACCCGCCTTTCCACAGAACTTGTCCAGTGCCCATGAGGAGCCATGCTGTCACCCTGCATGGGAGAGGCCCAGAAGTTTGTGGCAAAGAGTCCCCAGGCTGCCCTCAGCCCACATAGCGGGTCACAGAGAGTGGCTGGGCATCCTTTGAGCCCCAGCACAAATGCGAAGTAATGTGGGTATGGACAATCTCTCAGCAGACAATCTGCAGTTCTCCTCTTATGCTCACTCAACTCCCCCTCCCCCCGTGGCTCTATTCTCAATTAAAACTAGTGAGGTGGGGCTAGAGCACAGCGGGGAGGGCGCCTGCCTTGCATGCGGCCAACCCAGGTTCAATCCTCAGCACCCCATATAGTCCCTGAGCACCACCAGGAGTGATTTCTGAGCACAGAGCCAGAAGTAAGCCCTGAATAGTGTCGGGTGTGGCCCCAAAAACAAGACAAAAAAATAGTGATATCACTTATTTCTTTAAATTTGGGGTTTTCGGGGATGGGGGTGGGGCAGGCCTCTAAGCAGTGCTCAGGGGCTCAGTTGGCTAAATGGGTCAGCACTCAGGCCACTGATGCCCACAGGGACCTCTAGTCCTGTACTCAGCAGTGTGTGAGACGTGCCCCAGTGCTGGTGCTAGGCATGAGCTTCACTGCTGCACCAGGTCCTGCTCAGGGACTCCTTCGTTTCCTGCATCCATCACTGAAGATGGTGTGTGCATTTGGCCTCCGGGGGGTGCTCACAAGCATCTGAACTATGCCTGAGGATGGCGCCCTTAGCACAGGGCATGCATGCCTACCTCTGGCAGCCTGGTCTGCTGAGCAGGGTCAGGAAACAGTGTTGTACTGGACTCATCCACCCTCTGTGTTCTGCGCATGTCTGTCCAGTTTACCACAGGCAGGAAGGACAGGAGGCCACTCTGGCCCCAAAGGGAAAAGCCTGCAGCTGAAGGAGTATAGAGTCACATGGCAGAGTGGGCACGCATGCCTCACACAGGTTTCACACATGGACACACACAGCACTGCAGGCAGGCATGCCTCACACATGGGCTTCTCACGGACACACTCACACATGCACACACTCACACATGGACGCATGCGATGGTACAGTCACACATGCCTCATGCACCGGCCTCACACACAGACACACTCACACGCACATACACGGACATATGCAGTGGTACAGTCACACAGGTTTCATGCAGTGGTGTGGTCATGCATGCCTCACACATGGACACACTCACACGGACACACATGGTGCAGTCACACATGCCTTAAACACAGGTCACACACATGGACACACATGCACACACATGCACACTCGGACGGGCCTTGAATGTAGACACACATGTGCACACACACATGGATAAACACATGGTGGTGCAGTCACACACACCTCATGCACAGGTCTCACACATGCATACACATACACCTCACACACACGAACATGCTGCACACATGCACTGAGCAGTCATTAGGGGCAGCCAGAGATTCTGTGTCACTCACCGAGTAAAATTAAGAGTGGGATGAAGAGGAGCAAAAACTTGCAAAGGTTTCGAAGGCATCTAGGAGTGAAAAGAAAAACATTAATCCGGGAAAAGTGAAGGCAGGCAGGTGCTGCCCCAATCAGAGCCCTCCAAGGAGAAGTGCATGTCTGTGTGTGTGTCCAGCCAGGGATCACTGTGTGTCCGCATGTGTGAATAAGCACAGTCTCCGGGCCAGTGCTGGGGGACAGAACCCAGGTTACCTCTCTAAGCCATCTCATGGCCCCCTAGGCAAGAACACCAAAGGTGCCCACCCCACTTTTAAAGGAAGCCAGTGGAAGTGATCCCACCACCTTTCCTATACAATGACCTGCGAGTGCAGCTCCTGGGCCCCCAGCCCTTAGCACAGAAAGGCAACGACAGGAAGGAAGGGGAGGCTGGCAGCAGGCACTGGCAGGTGAGATCGGCCGCAGCCCTGCACACGTAGCATCACAGCACTCACCCCACCTCCTCTAAGCCTAACGGCTGACTCTGACCCCATAGGTTTGGAAGGGGCCAACTGTGTGTCAAGGGCACAGTGAACTACAGGGCGATGCTGAGTATGTCGAAGAGGAGCTGTACCTAGAAGCTGACTATGGAGCAACGGACCCAAGAGCCACAAGCTGGACCCTCACACTCAGCACTGGGTTGGCACGTCTACCCAGCTCTCTTACCTGGTAAGAAGAAACACGTTCAGCCATGAGACCAGAGTGACAAGCTGGTACCAGCCACTCCCCAGCCACCAGAAGACCCCTGAGGCAGCCTTCCCTGGGGGAGAGAAGAGCGGCGCTCAGCGACCTGGCCGCAGTCGCCTGTGCAGGGTTGAAGCAGGTCAGGAGGGACAGGCAGCAAGAGGTAGAAAACAGCACATCACAGTAACGTAATGCTGAGGGAAACTGCACCTGGACACACACATCAGAGCCTGCCTGAGCCCAAAGCATGGAGTAGAGTGCGGAGCCCAGAGCAAAAAGCATGGAACCCAGAACCTACAACCTGGAATGTAGAGCCCAGAGCGTGGAACCCTGTGCCCAGAGTACTGCATATCAGCACATAAGCCCACATGCGCAGGGACACTGAGACTTTGATGGGTCCACAGGCGCTCTCCAAACTCAGACCCCATAGCCAACAAGTCCACAGGAGGTCAAAAGGCACCTGGAGCCACCAGGGCCCTCCAGAGCACCAACAGCACTGTTCTCAACAAAGACCAGACTGCAGTAGTCATCCTGCACAACATCTGGAGATACAACCTGCAGCAGATGAGATGCCAGTGCACATAGTACAGAGGATACCCACCCAGATCCGCTGCATCAGGTCCCTCAGCACCACATCAGGCGCCTCCTCTTGTTAAGGAAACTCAGTGAACTGTGTCACATCCACACAATTATAGAAACCAGTGAACTATGTCACATCCACACAAGTACAGAAACCAGTGAACTGTCACGTCCACTGAGTCCAGGAATCAGGAACTGTCATGTTCATGTGAGTACAAAAAGCAGTGAACTGCCACATCCACATGAGTCCAGAAAGTAGCAAATGAAACCTGCTGCAGCAGAGGGCATTCCCCAGTACAGGCTCATACTCAAATCAAAACCAAAAAGGCAGATGATCCAAGGGCTGGTGTATGCAGTCCCATCATATCATTGCAGTGGAATTGGTGGATTTTACTTTGGAAAGATGCGATACTTGAAAGAAACTAAAATCCTACAGACACCAGCCATCAACATGCTTCAGAAGAGACAATCACTCAGAACCAAATGAAAATCACCCTAAAGCTCATCTTTTTAAGTGAAAACTATTTCTGGATTTTCAGTGGCAGACCATAAATGCAGAGACAAAGGTACAAATAGACAGAGACCACACAGAACAGTGTCCCACTGCCTTGAAAAGCCAGCTCCGCATACACATCCCTGACAGGCTGGTTTCCTTTATTGCTCTATGTTCTCTATTCACAATGAATCTTCGAAGTTCAGCTTTAGAAAAAGGCACCTCAAAAACACAAGCATCCAGGTGTCATCTGGAAACAAGCTGCCCGGTTGCCAGCGGCAGATGTGCCCATTCTGGAGGGCAGGAAGAAGAACAGACGCAGCCAGCAGCCCCAAAACCTTTGCTTCTCCTCACAGGAGCTGGTGCCCCACACAGTTTATGAATTGGCCAGATGTGCCTGCAGAGGGATAACTCTGGACTAAAACTCGGCAGCTCACTCACTTCTGTAATATACACATGGATTCCAAACACGAACAAGGAACAAGACACAGACATGAGAAACGTTGACAAAAATGAAACAGAAGGTTTTGTGGGACTACCTGCATAGGAGTACACATTCCGGGCAGCGCCTGCTCCCCATCTTGGCCATGAAGACAGCAAGAGGGCGCCTGTGTGCCTCTCCCCCATAGAGCCGTCACCTGTGGGGCAGTGACAGCAGTTAGTGCGACAGATTCAGCAAATCTTGTCCATGTCCACCATGCCCAGCAATGGGGAGGATTAAAAAACTCTAGTATACACACACATACACACACACAACGCACACAGCATACACAATTCACCACAATGTACACCACAACACAATCCAATAGACAAAAGCACTCAACACAACATACACACAACATACACAACACACACAATACAAACGTGCAACACACAAAGACAGCACACACTAGCAGCAGCATCTACTGAGAGGTTTCAGCCGGACGGCCCCTGTGGTACGGGTGGGGGTGGGGGGAGGGGAGGGCGGGGGCAGTATAGGACTCATATGGACACAACCACACTCACCCCGTGACTCCGCAGACATACTGAGTTGGCTCTGCATTCCGGCCAGCGCGTCCACACTTGTTCCCCCATAGTGACTGGAAGAAGCTGCAACAACAACACATAGAAGTGTAAGCTTAGCAGAGCCGTAGGGCGGGACAGGAGCTTCGCAGCAGCAGGAAGCAGGGCGCAGGCAGGCAGAGGGAGAGCAGGCAGGCTCAGCCCACAGACGTCAGCACCCGCTACTGTGGAACGCGGAGGGTTTCGACTTGGTTCACGGATGACTCCGAGTGTTGGGATAAACCGGCTTCCAGGGCACGAACATGAACGGACACACAAGGCAGAGAGGCGCACCACGCCCTTCTAGAAAGACCCCTGAAGAACCTGCACAGAGTGGAGAGCTGAAAGGACAGACAGCCCAAGCGGCGGCTGGACGGAGGGCAGCGGTGTCTCCACCTTGGAGGCATTAGCTGGTGGGAGTGGGAGAAGACACATGAGTACCTTTGCGTTCATGGCTTTCTGACTTAGCGCTTTCTGATTCATGAGCTTTCAATTCGTGACTTTTCAATTTGTCATTTTCTGATTCACAATTGAGCTTCATTAAAACCACTTGGAAAAGTTGAGCTAAGAACGCTGAGAGAGATGTTGAGGCGAACTTGGCCAGCCACAAAGTCCTGTCCACGTAGAAAGACACACCGCCTAGCGAGAGACCGTGCACAGTTACTCCCCTGGGCAGTGGGGAACTGAGTAGCCACGGTGGCCAGGGGGTCCGAGGACAGAGAGCAGCAGCACCTGGCAGGAACCACCACATCCCACTCTGATAGGCTGGCAGCCCAGCCCCTCCACAGGACACGCACTGCTGAACAATGGTTTCTATACCACTGCACCCAAATCTTCTCAATGCCCACAGAAGCCTGGGCGCTCCACACCACATCCTGAGGATGTTGGCAACAGTGGGACAGAGAAGAGAATCATTCCAGGAGTGAGTGGACAGTGGACGAGGGAGAGCAGAACTGCCCATGGATGAGTGGACAGTGGAAAGGGGAGAGCAGAAGCATCCTGTGGGTAAGAGGACAGTGGCACAACAGAACTGTCCTATGGGTGAACAGATGCTGGCGTGCAGGGCAAATGCTGGCCACTGAGACATAGCACAGTGGACCTGGTCGGCCCAACTAGAGAGGACTAAACCACAGCGTTACTTTAAAAGCAGTGACATTCCAGTATTTTGTCTTTTGTCTTTTGGGCAATACCCAGCAGTGCTTAGGGCTCACTCATAGCTCTGTTGCTAAGGGATCACTCCTAGTGGAGTTGAGGGAACCACGAGGTGCCAGGGACCAAACTGGGGTCGACTGTGAACAAGGCAAGTGCCCTACCCCCTGGAGTACCTTTCTGGCTCCTTATTTTATCTAAAAGCATGAATGAACTGTGGTGGCGCCAGGGCTGAGTCCCATGCACAGAAACACTTGGGACTTGGTTCGACGGTCTTGCACCTTCCACTCTGCGTGCCCTGCATTAAACTCTCAACAAGCTAAGAGCTAGGTTGATCTCACTAATAATCAAAACCACTAAAATTCCAAATTTTTTCAAGTACATGAAATCGACAAAATGCTAAAAGAACTAAAACATGGGGGGGGCAGGAAAGGCAGTGCAGGGGTGAGGCGCTAGTCTCGCACATAGCCAGCACAGCTCCATCCCTGGCCCCACATAAGGGCCCCAAGCCCAGGAACAGAAAGACCTCAGTCTGCACTGGCTAGGGAGGACCTTTCCTCAGCTGGAGGTAGCATTGCTTCGCTCAGAAGCTGCTGGTCCAGATGATTTGGAAATATTCTCACTGCTAAATGTTCACTTAGGAGTGTTCTCATTTAAGACACGCCCCCTTAGCCCAGATCACAATTGCTCTGCAGCTGGGCCTCAGTCTCCGTCGAGCTGCCCACCAAATAGCCACCTCCAACCTATGGCCAGGCCCCACCCTACGTCCAGACCCTACTCACGTCTACTTCAGAAGCTAAGTTCAAAGGTTACTCTACACACAAACAAATGGTCCACTCAGTAGGCCACAGACACACCCAAATTTCTCCAAATACAAGACTAGCTCAATGAGCAGAACTCTGCTCTGAACCACCAAACAACTGGGATGTTTCCTAGGAAAGATCTGCCCTGAACAGCGTTCTCAGCTGGGATGGGAATGTTTGCTGGGAAAGATCTGCCCTAAACAGCATTCTCAGTCGGGATGGGAATGTTTGCTGGGAAAGATCTGCCTTTCCTAGTGTCCCCACAGGGCCACTGGGGCCTGGACAACTGCACCACCCCTAGGCCGCGCCCCTACCTGACCTGGGACACACCTTCACTGCCTCCTACCACTCCCTTTCCAAGAGAGTCACTCAACTCAGCGCAACTGGAACCAACAGGGGCACCTCTCTTAAAATGCTGCAGTTGTCTTGGGCAGGAGAGATCGAAGAGGTTCTTCTCTGTTCCCTCTTTAATCCCCTGTCAAAGCCTACCCAAAGTGACCGTCACAAGCTGGGCCGGCCTCTGGGCCCAGGCTGCCTGAGGGAAGCCAGGGTGAGCAGGCCAGCCCTCGAGGGTCCCTAGGAGAGACTGTCAAAGCCTGAAAATTCAACTTTTGTCCAATGTGCTCTCAGGGTGAACCTCAAAGGTCCAGGGCTCAGACACCACAGGGTGTGGTGAGGCATGATGCTGACAGCAAATGTACCTCCAGTCTGCAGGCACTAAGCCAGGTGCCAAATGGGACATCCCAAGAAGTGTGGCATCACACAAGGTATATTCGGAAAGCTCTGAACGGTCCAACTCAGCACTGACAGGCTCAACATGATACCAGAGTCCACTGGACATCAGATGGGTCTGGAAAGGCCACAGCAAAATGGTCTGGAAAGGCCACAGAACCACAAGTGTGCTGCATGCATACCGTTGGGTCAGGACAGACATTCTAGAATAGGCAAAGGTCGAAGTCCCCCAAATTAGTTTTCAAGAGCAGAACCCATAGGACCCACCTGTGGTGGGTAGGGGCTCTCCCCACAGTGGCTTTCCAGGGGCACCTGGCACCAAGTCATCAGTGCAGCAGGCCCAGAGGAGGTGTTAACTGGTGTATATGGTACCCAGCAATGATCAGACCCAGTTTCAGACCAGCACCATGAGCCTGGGGAGCGCACTGGGCAAGGAGCCCCAGAAGACACTTCGGCTGCACTGAAGTGCAGGGGTTGGGCTGCACTGGGCTCCGAGACCCAGGAGGAAGTCCTGCCAGCCCCAGCAGGGGCCTCTGTGTGGGAGCAGGGGAAGCCAGACCTGCTGTCTGCCCACCCCTGCCCACCCCAGGAATTGGCTGACCCTGGAGCCTCCTTCACTAAGTTGCAGCATCCCAGAGTCACGGGGCTCCACCCCTGCCTGCTCTGAGGGTAGGAGCCCATGGGAGCCAGGGAAGCATTTGGTGTTTCAGAATCTCAAACACTCTGGGCACAGACGGCGTGCATGAAGGGAGCAGGGAAGACAGCAGTTAACTGTGGCAGTCTTGAACTTGTCATGTATAGCCTGAGTTCAGCCACGCACAGACAGACAAGCAAGCCATGGGTCTCTGCAGGATGGGATGGACTCACGTTTCTGGCTCCTATCCCTGGAGTAGATGCGGGAGGTGAGGCCGGGCCTGGGACGCAGGGCAAGTGTGCTTAGCGCCTCCCGGTGCTCCCCCAGAAGCCGGCAGTCCTGGCACGTGTAGCCATTACTCGACGTGGCAGCCGCCTGTGCAATCACATCACCGTTGCCCTGCTGGGCAGGGCCACCTCCAACTCCACCTAGAGTTCCGGGAGGCAGATGGTACTCAGCAACTCCACATATTGGCCAAGCAGGGCAGCGAGGATGGGACGGATCACACTTACCTCGGAGCTCGCCACGGACATCTCCATCGTCATCCAGTCCTGCAAGACACACAGGTCCCAGTGAGCACAGGGGCCAGGCAGAGCTACCCCCAGATGAAGAGCACAACGGGCACCGTGGGCCTGACCACAGGACAGGTACAACAGAGGGCAGGGCAAAGCCATGCACAGGCAATGCCCCAAGAGGGGACAACAGGAAAAGACTTGCTTCCTGAAATGCCACTTTAATAAAAAATTCTCCAGCTATATGCAGACAACAACTCAGGATGCGAGGTGTGTTACATCTGCCTAAACACAGAACACACACACAGACGTATATGCTCAGGGACAGACACACGTGCGCACACACAAGGACAAACACACAAACACACACAAGAACAAAGACACAAAGATATACAAAGACAAAGGACACACATAAGCATACACAAGGACACAGACACATGCAAGGACACACATGTGCACATACATGGGGATCTAGGAGGGTTGGTTGCCCAGGCCAACCCCCCAGCACACACAGGATGTTCTTAGAGCGGTCCACACACTCTCCCCTAGGACCCTCACAAAGGGCTGATGAAAGTTAGTGGACAAGGGACAGCTCCGACTTTCTAGCTGTCACTGTCCTCAGACATTCCAGCAGAGGCCATAAGATCATTGCTGCGGCCTGAACCAACAGAGCACCCAGCAGGGGCTCCATGTCCGTCTACACCATGTTCTCGAGCTTTCTGGACTATGGAGTCCCACAGGTAAACCAACACGAAAGAAGCCACGAGAACAAGCACAGGGCCCAGCCCTGCCCTGGTCTCACCAAGCATCTGAGATGGGGGATGGGACAGCAGCTCCAAGGCTCCTGCCTGACATATACCCCAAATCTTCTGGTCACAGGCAGAGGAGAGGGCAGAGCCCAGGGCAGAGGGGGAGACAGGCCCTGGGAGAGTAGGGAGGGCAGGGCAGGATCTAGGGCAGAGGGTCGGGCAGGGCTCGGGGAGGGGGAAGGGCAGGGTCTAGGGCAGAGGAGAGGGCAGGGCCTGGGGGGAGAGAGGAGAGCAGGGCTGGGGCAGAAGGGAGGCAGGCCCCTGATGATACCATGGGTCTCCCCCGAAGTCCCCAGACTCACCCCAGAAATGGGTCACTTTGGTGTGCTCGCGGATCAGAGACTCATCCAGAACAGGGGGCCGCAGGCTGACATCAGCCTGCAGGCCACTGGCGTCTGCCTGGCAGACGGCTGAGGTTGTGGCTGTCCTGGTCGAGTGACTCAGGCTGGATGAGGCCTTGACCACATTACGATGCTGCTTGGTGGTTCTAAAAAGAATGAAGGTTTTATTTTTTAGAAATTTTTTTTGGTTTTTTGTTTCCATTTGTTCTTTTCTATATTTTCCTCTTTTTTTCTTTTGGAAAGAGTGTTAAGGAGACGCCATGAGTACTTTGCTTAGTACTTACTGAACAAACACCTCCAGCACCAGCCTTTAAGAATATGGTGCTTCTCAGGGGCTGGAGTGATAGTACAGTGGGTTGGGCATTTGCCTTGCACGTGGCCGACATGGGTTCAATTCCCAGCATCCCATATGGTTCCCCAAGCACTGCCAGGAGCAATTCCTGAGCATAGAACCAGGAGTAACCCGTGAGCAATCGTTGGGTGTGACCCAAAAAGAAAAAAAAAAAGAGAATACGGTGCTTCTCAAACCATATTTTCATACATCTTTTCTGTTGTAATGAAACAGAATTGTCTCTCTGGCCCCCAGATCTAATTTTTAAAAACCAAAGACCTGACTTCACTCAGTGGCTCAGCCAACACATTGTGTCTCTGTGCTTTCTTCTGCTGTGCTGTAACCAAGCCAGAACTTCACATATGCAGCAAGTGCTCGGCCACTGAGACTATCTAGGCATTTATTTGCTTTTTATTTTTCCCTCTTTCTTTTCTTTCCAGTAAAACAAAAACAATTTGTATGGACCGGAGTGACAGCATAGCGGGTAGGGCATTTGCCATGCAGCTGACCCGGGTTTGATTCCTCCGCCCCTCTCAGAGAGCCCGGCAAGCTACTGAGAGTATTCCGCCCACATGGCAAAGCCTGGCAAGCTAACCCGTGATATATTCGATATGCCAAAAACAGTAACAAGTCTCACAATGGAGACGTTACTGGTGCCTGCTCAAGCAAATTGATGAACAACAGGAGGACAGTGCTACAGTGCTACTTAGAAAGATGAAAGAAGGAAAAAAGAGAGGAACATGTATTAAAGAGAGAAAACAGAGGCCGGAGCGGCAGGACAGTGGGAAGAGCGCTCACTTTGCATGTGGCCAACTGGGTTCAATCTCTGGTACCCCATATGGTCCCCCAAGCCGACCAGGAGTTACCCCTGAGCACTGCTGGGTGTGTTGCCAAAATTGAAAAGAAAAAAAGTATAGCTTGGATAATACAGTTAAAGAATGCTTCAGTTTACAGGATCAATGTGTGATTATTGGACATCACCTCTGACCCAACATCCCTGGCCCTAACATCAGTAACTTCTGGACCATCCCATCCTCACGCCCCTGTGTGCTGACTCAAGAGGTGAAGCTCTGGTGCACAATCACCCCACCAACTGCGCCCAAGTACCCTTCCACTCAGTCTCATTGTTCCCAGGCTAGTGTTCTCATCTGTTCTCAGTGCCCAAGACTCATCCGTTATGTGTCCATAGCCTGGACTGATTTTCTACAGACCACAGGTGAGTGACATCATCTGGCACCTGTCTGCCTGCAGTTCATCGTCTTGGGCGTGATGTCCACATGTCCCTCTGTCCATCTGCCTGAGTTGCCTGGCCTCACTCTGCTCATGTGGCTGCCCCAGCATCTTCACCCATGTGTCTGCTGCAGAGGGCGCATGCCTGGCCACAGCTCATGGCTTGAAGTCTCGGCCCCAACCTGAACCTGCCACACAGGGTGGTCAGCACCTCCACATAGATCTGGCCAGCAGGAACACGTGTGATCCGGCACCTCCACACAGACATAGCCAGACAGCACGTGTGTGGGCCTGGAGCAGCAGCAGCAAATGTGTGCCTGGCTTCATGACCACTGTGGGCAGGGGACCAGGGAGCACAAGGGATAGTCTTACCTGGCTGTCCTGTCCTTGAGGGAGGACCCGCGGCCTGTGTGGGTCTGGGCATCCCCAGCCTGGCTGTCCTCTGCTGTAGTGACCAGACGCAGGCTGCGGCGGGACATTCTCGGAGAATCAAATACAGGGTCCAACTTGTGCTCCGTCTCAAAGTCCAGGGCATCGGAAGAGTAACTTGAACTGGAAGGAAATGAACGAGTCTGAAAGAAGCCTCCACCATCCCCATCTACTGCACTGTTCCTCACACTGTCCCCATCCCCCACCCTGGCCCTGCACTGTCCCTCACATTGTCCCTAGCCCGCACCCCGGTCCCAGCACTGTTCCTCACACGGTCTCTGTCCTCCACCCCAGCCCCCTCACTGTCCCAAACACTGTCCCCTGCACCATCCCTCTCGCCGACACTCTTCTCCACACCATCCCCAACCCCTGCATTGTTCCCACCCGCCATGCTGACCCCATCCCCCCACACCATCCCAGCAGCACTATGAGGAGATGAAATAGGCCATGCAGGCAGGGCTGGACAGAGCCCTTCTGTATGGGCTCTTTAGTGCCCCTCAGCTGTGGGGACAATGACAGTAGCACTCCAGGATCAACTATTCCCAGGACCCAGCGCACCAAGGGTAGATGAGCTAAGCCCCCAGACATGGACAAGAGCCCCAGCCAGGGGAGCAGAGGGTCCAGGTGAGGTCCCTGAGGGGAACGGGGGTGGGGGTGGGGGGGGAAGCAGCTGCAGGCCCAGGGCCACAGGGGAGCATGTGTTCACCAGCGGGACCAGCACCAGAGGATGCTGCTGGACACTGCTCATGAGGGCCAGCAAGGCCCATCAGGAGTGACTGAGATGTCCTATCCCACCCAGAGTCAAGCTGAATGATGGCGAAGGCTGAAGTTGAGCGTGGTACAGGCATGGACCCTGAGCGCTGCCAGGACAGCCCAGAGGACCCCAGCACTGCTGAGTGCCCCCCACATCACTAGTGAATCATCGCAGATCAGTGCAGGCCCCAGTCATGGCATCAATCTGCATCTCTCCGGGCTGAGGAAAGGCACCTCAGACGCCCCAGGCACATGGTCAGCCTGAAGGACGCAGTCAATTCCAGCATCACCAAGAACACCCACCCAGCCACACCCAGTTCTGCGCACACCCAACTCAGCACAGGGAAGCAGGTTTGAGAGAAGAGCTGAGTGATCTTTTTCTGACAAAGGAGCAACAACCCAAATAAATGTGAAAAATCTTGGTGAGAGAGACCATCTAGGGGTTAAGGTACTTGCCATGTGCTTAGCTGACTCAAGTTCAATCCCCGGCACCACAAAGGGTTCCCCAAGTCCCACCAGGAATGAGTCCTAAACACCAACAAATCCTCATCCCCCTACCAATAAGGACCCTCTGGTCCAGATGATCAATGTTAGTTCACAGGAAATAGAAGAACTCAAAAAAATGGGCCAGGGAGAGAATGAAAAGGGTGGGCATGCTCCTGACCTATGGGGTCCTCAGCGGGATCCCAATGCCCACCACAGACATGAGCACTGAAAGTCTGAGTGTCGTGGGGGGCTGCTCTGCTTGGAAGGCATCTCAGAAACACGACCAGGGGGTGGGGAAGGCTGAGGGGGGGTAAGGGGTAGAGGGGGGTAGAGGTGTGGGGGATGAGGGGAAAGGGGGGGTGATGAGATGAGGGAGGGAAGCGAGAAGGAACAAGGGAGGATGAAGAGAGGGACAAGGGGGTAGAGGAGATATAAGCAGAGGGACAAAGGGTGGTGAGAGAGGAAGAGAGGGGAATGGGGGGGACAAGGGAAGGGGCAGGAGCGAGAGACCCACTTGCCCTTGCTCCAACCGTCTTGCCTCCATACCCATGCAGGGCTGGATGGCTGCACTCACACACAGACATGTGCTCTGGAAAGCGGCCCTTGGCAGGGCGGAGGGGGGGAAGGTTGGGGCCAGTCAGCCTGCTGGGCTTCACAGGCGGATGCCAGTTCCATCCACAGCACTGCAGGGTACCCCTGGCACAGCATCCAGAGAAGCTCCTGAACACTGCCCAGTGTGACCCCAAAGCAAAGAATGTGACAGTGTGTTCTGGACAGCAGGATAAGAAGTGTCCACAACCTCACCACGGTCAGTAGCACGGGACAGATGACAGGCAATTTTGTGAGTGGAGCCGCCGCAGCACACGTCACCCATGGTGTGGGCAAGGGCTGTCCATACTTGGTCCTGTGAATGAAGCCCCCACCGTGCGGCACGCTGGACAGCAACCTGGCGTGCTCCAGGCTGACTGCGTGGAGGCACCACTGGGGTGGCCGGGCAGCGTGATCCTTGTGGGCTCAAAGCACCGCACCCACAGCCACACTGCTGGGCCAATCCCAATTAGAAGGATGAGCGAACTGACTAAGGGCTTAAAACTATTTTCTCTTTTTGTTGTTGTTGTTGTTTTTGGGTCACACCCGGCGATACACAGGGGTTACTCCTGGCTTTGCACTCAGGAATTACTCCTGGCAGTGCTCAGGGACCATATGGGATGCAGGGAATCGAACCTGGGTCAGCCTCGTGCAAGGCAAATGCCCTCCCTGCTGTACTATCACTCCAGCCCCAATACTATTTTTTCTTAAGGGACCAGAGGGACAATACAGCAGGGAGGGCGCTTGCCTTGCACACAGACAATCTGGGTTCAATCCCCAGCATCCCGGAGCCTGCCAGGAGTGATCCTTGAGTGCAGAGCCAGGAGTCAGCCCTGAGTATCACCGGGTGTGCCCCCAAAACAAGCAAAACAAATAGACTTGTTTTTCTTAAGGGGCTAGAGAGATAGCAGAGCAGGAAGGGTGCTTGCGTTGGACGTGGCTGACCCTGGTTTGATTCTGGCACCCATCTGGTCCCCTAAGCCCACCAGGAGTGATTCCTGAGTGCAGAGCCATGACTGAGTACTGAGCACCCCCAGGCGTGTCCCTAACGCCCCCCTCCAAAGTATTTTTCTTAAAATGTCTCTAATAGTTTTCAGATTTTCATTACCTTTAGAACAGAGGGTCCCACACTTACTTGGCCTAACACCCCCTTTTCAGAAATGGCATCACTCAGAGCCTCCTGAAAATGCACCTTCTTTGAGGGAACAGGATCCCCTACCCCCCACCAAGGCCACTGCCCCTGCAAACCCCAAACAGCGCAGGCCCAGAGCCGTCCTTCTGTGTGGTTGCGTGGATCTATGAAGGAAAGCGTAACTTTCAGGGCTCACACTGAGCTCTGAGGTCCTATGGGAGTGTGAGAGGCTTTGATAAGTCAGGCCTCAGGCCCCACAACCATCAGCGCTGCACCCTGCCCCTCTCCATGGTGGCTACTTCTTTCAACCCAGCAGGACCCCATCTGTTCGCCCACCCGGTGAGAGCACCATAGTCCAGGTGGATGTGAAGCAGCAACACAGAGTCACAAGAGAAACCCGCCACACCGCAGGGCCAGACTACGGGGTGCAAAGCTCAACTTTTGAACATGCAACTGGTGCCTGCGTCACTCACCTGAGTGCATAGGTGTAGCCAGTATTCTCGGGCACACACTGGGGTGGCGTGTACAGATGCAGCCGAGAAAAGTCCATGTCAGGGTCTCAGAGCATACTGCAGAGATGGGAGAAAGTGACCCAGTGTTAGAGGCATGCAGGCAGCGAGAACTGCCCGCCACTCACCAGTGGCAGCACACAAAGCCCACAGCAGCTCCACAGTTCTCGGATGACGTGCCCTCCAAAATGGCTCTGAGTCGGGCTCAGACACGCAGAAGCAGTCACTTCCCCAAGAGGAAACTTAGAACCCTCCGCAAAGTCCTCACCTTCTTCAGTTTCTCTCTCCCGCCCTGGTCACAGCTGGGGTCACACAGCTCTGGCAGGGGGCACTTGGCCCTCAGTGCTCCCTGGGACAAACACCACAGCTCCTGGGTCCCTCTACTGCTTCCTGGAATGGACCCCACAGCTCTGGGGTCCCCCCAGGGTTTCCCCCCTACAGCTCTCCTGGGATCCTTTCCACAGCCGGTGGGTCCAACTGCAAGCTGCACAGGGACTCCAGCTCAGTCTCCTGCTCATGGCCCCCATGGGCTGGCCCAGGGCCCCTCAGACATGCTTAGAAATCCCTGAAGGTGTTAGAATGTTCCCCCTCATCCCCTTCTCAAGGACACTTTCATGACCATTTGCTCAGCCTGGCTTATTTTTATTTCACAGCCCAGACACAGCCCAGCAGCCAGAGGTGGGTCCCAAGAGTCTGGAGTGTGGCCCAAACTCCCCCAAATTCAAGCACTCCTAGGAGTCATTTTGTTGTTGAGAATCCAATGGTGTTCAGGGCTTCCTCCTGGCTCTGTGCTCAGGGGCTCAGGGATCACTCCTGGCAGGGCTCACATGACCCTATGGGGTTCTGGGGATTAAACCCGGATTAGGCATGTGCAAGATAAATACCCTGTCAACTGTACTATCTCTCAGGCCCCTAGGAGCCATTTTTACATTCATTTTTGTCTAAAAGCAGCACAATATTATTCTTACATTAATACTTTCTCAGGTTAGCACACAGATTTCTTTGGAATGACACAATTTTTCCTTGGTAAAAACATGCACACTTACACTCCAAAATATTTTTTGAAATATGGAGCAATAGCACAGCGGGCAGGGCGTTTGTGTTGCATGTGGCTGACCTGTGTTCAATTCCTCCGTCCCTCTCGGAGAGCCTGGCAAGCTACCAAGAGTATCCCACTCACACGGCAGACCCTGACAAGCTCCCCATGGCATATTCGATATGCCAAAAAGAGTAACAACAAGTCTCACAATGGAGACGTTACTGGTGCCGCTCGAGCAAATTGATGAACAGTGCTACAGTGCTATGAGTAGTAACATGACTCATAACCTGTTGAAAATCTGAGACAAGTGAAGCGCATCCTGCAGGAAAATGTTCGGGGGTGGACAATGAACCTGCTGCAACCTTTGAATCTGTCCTTAGCACTGATGGGTCGCTGGGGTCACAGATGGCTGCCTGCTGCAGGCGCACACACAGGCACACATGGGAATGCACACAGGCACACATGGGCCTAAGCTCTCAACTGAAGCAGAAATTAGGCCCTGGAATTCACCGCACTGGGGCGGGCTAGAGTGCCCACACATGTGCCTGTCTGGGGACACTGGCACCCGTTCCTAGCTGCAGTGCCCACACAGTGGTCAGCACACGCTGCATGTGCGGGGCCCTGGGGCCTGGAGCCTCTGTGTGTCCCCACAGGCCCATAGATGCCAAGCTCTGAAACATGGGAGAATGACCACCTTTGTTTACCCACAGCCCAAAGGGTCCTTATTTGGGGCCAGGGCGTGCTCAGTGCAGGGAGGGCACCTGCCCGTGGATAGGAGGTACCACTAGATCAATTCCAACGCTGCCACTGCCCCGTATGCCACAGCACTAGGAGGTGTGATCTGTGCACCTGCTGAGCACGAAGCCTAAGAGTTAATCCCAACACCACCACGCACAGTGAGACCCCACAGACACACAGCATCCCCACACATACACAATGTGACTCCACACATAGTGCAACCTCACAGCCACACAGTGTGACCCCAGACACACAATGAGATTCCACAGCCAGAGTGTAACCCCACACACACAGTGACTCCATAGACACACAGTGTGACCCCCCAGACAGTGTGACTCTACACAGTGTGACCCCTCAGGGTGACCTTAGATATAGTGACCCTGACTCCACAGTCACAGTGACCCCCCACACACACACACAGTGTGACCCCACAGCCACACACACACCATTCACAAGTGCACCCTCTGGCACTGAGCAGCAAGGGACAGGGCAGGGAAGAGCCATGGATTCCACAGAAAAAGAGTGGACAAGGACTACTCAAATAAAAATGTGGCTGTCTGGGCTGGAGTGACAGGAGAGTGGGGAGAGTGCACTTGCCTTGCATGCAGACGACCCATATTCAGTCCCCAACACCACAGAGGATCCCCCGAGCCCCCGAAGAGTCCTGAGCATTGCCAAGTGTCGCCCCTACTGACAGAAAGCCCACAACGCCCACAAAACTTGTGCTCACACACTTTCGACAGGGATGAGGTCATGCTTTGCCCGTAGGGGCGTGGTTCCCAGAGCACTGCCAAGAGTGACCCCTGAATCAGGAACACGAAAGAAAAAACACTGAGACATCTGTCTCTTCTCCACGGCACCTAGCCCATGGACCCACGCATGTGCAACCTCATGCACATACAATAATCCTCTGTCACAACAGCTGGCTGGGCCCCAGGAAGCCACAACCTGTCTTGGGCCTGCCTGTCTGACTGCCTCGATTCCAACTCCAAGTCCACGTCAGCCATCAGACTGAGGGAAAGCAGGCCCTGGCCCAGGGGCCGCCTCCCGCCCGCCCGCGGAACTTCGGCAGAACAATGGCATGAACTGGGCCAAGAAGCCTCACTAGGCAACAGGCACGTGGGGAGGGGAGAAGGGCCTCTGGTCTCAGAACACACTTGGCACTTGGCTCCCCAGAGACCTCTCACAGAACGCACCACTCAGCAGTCTGGGCTCTTCTTTTCTCTCACAGCCACTGCAGTGCTCAGGCCACCCCTCCTGCTGGTACCAGGAACCAAACCCTGGACTCTGGCCCTCCGAGCCGCCTCTAACCCCTCTCGAAGCACTGCTGTCGTGGGAGCCAGTGGAGCTGACACATGACTATCTCAGGAGCTCACGCGCTCCCAGCCACATGCAACTAGAGCACAGCCTGAGTCACACATGGGGGAGATGAGCACTTGGTGGGGTGCGGCGCCTTCAGAGCCCAACACCTGGGCAAGGCAACTCAGCAGACTGGCAGAGCCTGGGGCACTGACACAGACATGCCGTGTCCTTCTCCACCCAAAGAACAAGTAGCAGAGAGCAGGAAGAGGCTCAAAGGACAGGGCCTGGCTGGACTCCCAGGACCACTAGGCCCCTGGGCAATACAACTACAGCACCTCTAGGGAAGTCCCAACATCCACCACAGTCATGACTCAGGGGCAAACTCAGGCATATGCACAGGACCCATGACCGGACATGTGTGAACCTGTCCTTACAGCAGCAGTGAAAGGCAAGGGTGAAGAGAGGGTGACAAAAAGGGCTTGGGGAGATTAGGACCACATCCACAGCATTTAGGGGCTATTCCTGGCTTTGTGCTCCAGAGACCATGTGTGGTGCTATGGCTTCAAACCAGGTGGCATGAGGCCAATCGAGAGCCTCGCCCCAATGCCATCTCTGGGGCCCTCTGGCTCTTTAAATAAACAGAGCTGCAGAGCAAACACTGCACACAGGCTCGGGTCACTGGGAAGAGCCTCTTCCCTCTTCTCCAGGAGGCTCGCCAGGAGCCTGCTCTCCGGAGCCAGAGGCCAGAGGGTAGCTCCACCCCAGGCCTGGCAGCCGTCAGGGAGAACTGCTATGTGAAGACCAGCACCAACTCCCAGGTTTCTGATAAAAGCCCCGGAGCCTCCGCAGCCTTGTGGGGCACCAAGCCCTCCGGGGCTTTCCCCAGATTGAGGCAGGGAGAGGCATCTGCACACAGGTAGGCCTGTCCTCATTTTTCCAGACCCTCCCACGGTCCACTTCCCCTCCAAGTGCTGAGGGTGGGGTGAGGCTGAATAATTACATCAAGTCCCTGATGAGCTCCTGGGGCAGCAGTGGTGGCGGGCAGCAGTGGCGGCACCCTGGGGTCCAGAAAAGCTGTGCATACCATCCACCCTCGCTGCCAGCAACACCCAAAGGTGCAAACTCACCCCTACCCAGACCACATGCCCACAGGCTCCACCCTCCTGACACCCACATCACGGGGAGGCACAAACACAAAGTTCTCTGCTCCTTGAGTGATCTGGCCAAAAAGGAATCTTAGCTCTGCAGCCACCCAGAACATGAATCCGGAGGCTTCGAATGTCTGGACGAATTTAGTAACGATCTAGAACAGGAGCCTGAAAATAATCCCCGCCTTCACAGTCACATAGGGCCAGAAATAGAGCTCGGCAACAACACAAGAGCCAGAGCACCCACAAGAAGTGCCACAGCTTTGCAGACACACTCGCTCCAGGGCCCTGGGCAAGGTTTGCTGGAACCCAGGCATGGGAACCACACACTCTCACCTGCTTCGGGATAGGTCCGGGCAGTCGACCAGCAGGCCAGTGTCCAGACCCGCCACACTGTGCACAGGCCAGCAGCAGCCACACAGTCGGGGAGGATGGGACCAGAGGGCCCTGTGCTGACTGGGAGTGGGTTGTGGCGCATCCCTAGGCCCACCTGCCACAGACATGCCATGAGCTAGTGGGCAAGGTGGCTGTGGTGGCCATTATATCAACCACTCCCTCCACGCCCACCACCCCGCACCCTTGCACACTGGCTCTGTTTCCCACATGCTGACTTGAATCTAAGGGACTGAACTAGGAGCGCTAGACTCTTTATTGGGGGAACTCCCAAGGAGTTCTCTACCCAGACCCAGTGGAGCTGGGACCACTGTGCCACCACCAGCAATGCCAGGGCCATGTGGTGCCTGGTGCCACAGTTCAAGCTTGGTCCTGGCACCTGGAGTACAGACCCCTGAGCACTGACTCAAAGGATAATTATTTTGCTCAGATCTTAATCCTGCTTATGTTAATATAAACGGTCACAGTCACGGTCCTCCCGTTGTTCATCGATTTGCTCAAGCGGGCCCAGTAACATCTCCATTGTGAGACTTGTTATTGTGTTTGGCATATTGAATACATCACGGGTAGCTTGCCAAGCTTTGCCATGCAGGCAAGATATTCTTGGTAGCTTGCCGGGCTCTCCGAGAGGGACGGAGGAGTTGAACCCGGCTCGGCCGGGCCAGCTGCGCACAAGGCAAACGCCCTACCGCTGTGCTATCGCTCCAGCCCTGTTAATATAAAAGCTAATGAAATATATTATTATTTTTTTTGGCTTTTTGGGTCACACCTGGCGATGTACAGGGGTTACTCCTGGCTCTGCACTCAGGAATTATCCCTGGCGGTGCTCAGGGGGCCACATGGGATGCTGGGAATCGAACCTAGGTCAGCCTCCCACAAGGCAAATACCCCACCCACTGTGCTATCGCTATAGCCCCTGAAATACTATTCTTATCTCTAATTTTAAAAGGAGTAACCTAAAAAAATTACTTTCAAAGATCAAGTTCCAAGTGATCACGCTCAGAATACAACAGATATTGGCAGGCTGGTGGGGGAGGGATCACTCCTGGCAACACTTGGGGGACCCTATAGGATGTCAGGGATGGAACATGAGTTGGCTGTGTGCAAAGCAAACGTTCTCCCAGCTAAGGTATCACCCAGGCCCCCCGTTTTATTTTTAAGGAAGCAAAACAGTGCCAATGAAGGAAAACTATGATTTACACTAAGTGACCGAGAATTCCCTAACACAAAATGACTCTGAAACAAAGACTCAGAAACAAGTGATGATGGTCTGAGCACGCTAGAGGGGCCTGACTGTGCATCCATGAACAAGTTTTCAGAACTTCCAGACTCAACAGCGCATCCTAGGTAACGGAACTCCTACTCTTTCCTTATTCCTTTTTGTCCTGCGTGAACTTTCTTTTAAAAAGTAGGTACTAAAGAACGGAGAGAGTTCACACAAGTGTGCTGGGCCGTCCATTGGAACTGCACATTATCTGTTTCATCTCCAACCTTACTGGGAGTGACCAGGAACAGCGATCACAAAAACCTGGTTGCACTGTAAAAAGCGGATCCCCCCCATTCCCTAATGACCGTTTCAAAACTGTCCTTCTGAATGCAAGGTACCTAGCTAAACTGACTATCACCCCAACCTGCCAAAAGTGTGACTGTAAACAGCAACTGAGTCACTGAGTTTATCTGTTTTTATATCCAAGGCATGGCTGGCATCTTCTGCACAATTAACACAGCAGACACTGCCAGTTAATCCCTTCTAGCAGCTTACATTATAGAGCTCACAGTCATCTCTTCTGGCAGCTTGGACTACAGATCACAGTTGATCCCGACTACAGATCTCACAGTTGATCCCTGACAGCAGCACTGACTACACATCGGTTACAGTTGATACCTTGCAGCAGTGTGGATGGCAGATCACATACAGTTGAACCTTGCCAGTAGCACTGACTATAGATGTCACCCAGTCGATTCCTGACTCAGAAGACAGCAGCCAGGCTGCAGGGCTGCCCTGTGGCCCAAGCAAGGCCCACTCAGGCCGTATTGGAACAACAGGTAGGTGTGTCACCAAGACTGTCTCACAGAGTCACCCACAGTCAAGCAACTCCAAGTGGGCCCGAGAGGCGACAATGTGACAGAGACCCACTAATAAATGTGGTTGAACACAGGTGTGACTCCCAGTGCTCAGTCAGCTTAAGAACAGCTCGGAACACATAGCCACGGCAACAGCAGTAGCACAGCAGCAGCAGCAGCTCCAGAGCTCCAGCATACCAGCCTGTTTACTCTGGCCGATAGCGGACAGTCCAAAACAGACCTGGTCGCCTCCACCTGAAAATCAGACGTGGTGGCCTGTCCAAAAAAGCCGTGAGTTCTTAAGTCTAGTAATGGAGAAAAAGACTAGATTGAGCGTGTGGCCTTTCTGCAGGCCCCTGCACCCTTCTCCCAGACAGGCCCCTCACACCCCCAGGGGCTCTCTCCCTGACAACACCACTGCACAGATTAGAAGCCCCTCTACAGCCTGGCTATGTCCTGGATTTCACCACAAGCAAATTCAAACTGGCTTGAAGACCCTAGAGACTGAGTTGGGAATGTGGCACACTTGCCTAGCATGCCCGAGGGACCAGGCCACATCCCTGGCACCACACAGCCCCTGATCACTGAGCCAGGAACAGGTCCTGGTCACTGCTCCACTGGGACAGAAAAAGCACTAGTCAAAGTATTTCCTGATGAAAATGCAACAGGCCAGGACTGGGGATAAGACAAAAGCACTGGAGCGATAGCACAGCGGGGAGGGTGTCTGCCTTGCATGCAGTCGACCTGGGTTCGATCCCCAGCATCCCATATGGTCCCCCCAAGCACCGCCAGGAGTGATTTCCGAGCGTAGATCCTGATGTGACCCTTGAGCATTGCTGGGTGTGTCCTGAAAACTTAAAAAAAATAAAAAAGACAAAGACAAAAAGACAAAAGTCCCCCCCACCACTGCCTGCTATGCAACAAGGGTCCCATTCTCACCTCTCGATCCCAGTCAGGCCAAGTCCAGAGAAGTCTGAGTGCAAGCCTAAGAGAAAGAGACAAAGGTTATAAATCAGAAAACTATCTGGAGGGGCTGGAGCAATAGCACAGCGGGTAGGGCGCTTGCCTTGCATGCGGCTGACCTGGGTTCGATTCCCAGCATCCGATATGGTCCCCTGAGCACTTCCAGGGATAATTCCTGAGTGAAGAAGCAGGAGTAACCCCTGTGCATCGCCGGGTGTGACCCAAAAGGGAAAAAAAAAAAAACCAAAAACCTATCTGGATTCACAGATGACACGATCTCAGCTACAGAAGATCAGAGAGAAGACACCAAGAAACGGTCAAGTCAAATAACACATTGAGCATAGGCTTTGCAAGCAGAGGTCCCAGGTTGGACACCTGTACTGGTAACTCACTGGATCACCACCAAGAAAGGCTTATAAACCAAATGTGAACAAATGAACAGAATTGAGCAAAATCGCACAATACCAGCTCCACAGAACAATTAGTTGTCTTATACACGAGAAATAATATAAAACCAGAAAGTAATTCTTCTCAGGAAATCAAAGAAAAGAGCAAAGCTGGGTAAATTTACTCAAAGAGGCTGTCTCCCGAAGGTTGTCAGATACTGGAGGAGGTAAAGGAGACGCCAAACTGACTCTGCAGTAGGTCCCTAAGCCAACGCTACCAAACTTAATTGCCCTTACACTTCCTTTCTAGGAAAGTATCACCCAGCACCCGCTTGGGAACCTACTCACTGTCCAGCAAATGAACAGAAAGTATCTCCAGCCCTGGCTGCAGAGACACTGCTCCCCACTCTGGAAATGAGGCACTAATGACCAGACCCAGCTTTGCCTCCCATGAGCAAATGGGCAAGCTTGGCAGACATAAGAAAACAAACCCTCGAACTCCTGTGAGCAGCAATGAGGTCCAAGGTACCCGGGAGGTGAGGGGGAGCAAGAGCAGTAGCATAGCAGCAGGACGGTGCTGGCCTTATACACAGACAACCCATGTTCCATCCCCAGCACCCCAGATGGTCCTCCAAGCACGCCAAGAGTGAGTGAGCACTGAGCACAGAGCAAGGAGTCAGGGCGGAGCACAGAAACAGAAGTCTGGTCTAAGCACTGCCAGATGTGGCAAAAAAAACACAAAAAAACCAAAGAATGTTGCATCATGAGCACTGGAACAGACTTAAGCTAACAGAACTGAAAGTCTAGAAATAAGCCCATAAACTTAGGATCAAATCATTTTCCATGGGCTGCCAAGAGAAACCAACACAGCAGGAAAAGTCTCTCCAACAAGTTGCTGGGAAACTGCAGCTGTGTGAGGGCAGGAGAAGCTGGGCTGGTAAGGTGGTGAGCGTGTGCAGGGCTTGTTTGCCAGATGTCTCTGCTCCTGACTCCACTGCACCACTGGGACTGACCCTGGCGTCCCTCCACTCCCCGGATAGCTGTATGTGACTCCACAACTAAAAAAAAAAAAAGTTGGAGATTTACCTACAAAAACAAAAAAGGTCAAAGACCTAAAGGTAAGTGTTAAACCATGAAACAGACTCAGGGGGAGGGGACCAGAGACACTCAAACAAAAGGGCTAGAGCACGTGACTTTGCAGGCACTACTGGGAGGAGCCTCAAGCATCATGGGAGTGGACCAAATCCCCGTAGGCCACCCCAATAAACCAACATCGGGGACTACGGGTGACTCATAGGTATGACACAAACATGGACAACGGAATAGAGTAGTGGAGTGAGCTCCAACCAGGTCAGAGCATGCACACAGACCACGACCATGGCAACAGGCAGCCCCAAGGCAAGGCCAGCTTGCAGACACACATGACACATGGCCAGGCCTGAACAGACATTTCCCCAGAGACAGCCAGCAGGCCACATGAGAAGGGCTGCTCAGCTATCTACCATTCGAGAGATGTTCAGGAGATGCAAAGCAAAACGAGGTGCCACCTCACACTCCCATGGGCGTGTGCAGCAGAGGAGGGAGAAACCAAAGCCCTCAGAGCTGCTGCTGGCGAATACAACAGGGCAGTGCCAGGGTATGGGCTGGAGAGCGCAATCACCGCCAGCATAGCCCGCAAGGATTCAGGTGTGCCCACAGCACGATGCTGAGGGGCTCAGCTGAGAAACTGAGGCAGGGATGGGCCCAGACCTAAAAGGACCAGAGCAGCAGGTGCCACTACCAGGATGGACCTTGAAAACAGGCCATGAACAGGAAGCTCAGCAAACTGAGTTGACTGGGAGGCTAGGCGCCACTCAGAGACAGTGCGGACAGTGGCTGGCCCAGGCTGGGGACAGCTGCTCTGCATGTGGGGTTCTCTTTAGGCCTGGTGATGGATGCCAACAAAGAGCACAGAGTAAAATAGGGGCAGTGACTTCCAAGTGCTCTGAGTCCCCCAGAGGCACAGGCCATTGGTGTGGGCCTGAGGCTGGGGGCAGCTTGAAGCCTATGGGCTCAGGTTACCAGGCCATGTGGGTATGGTACAGGGAAGGAACTTGGGTCGGCACACAATGCCGGCCCCTCCACTGTGTGAATGTCAACAACAGAAAGTGTAGACTGAGGGCCGGGAGAGAGCACGGGTTTGTGAGCCTGCCCGGGTGTGCTAGACCACACTGGCTTTGGGCATTGTTAGGGAAGCCCTGGAGGCCCTGGCCTCACATCCTTGGACAGATGTAAGTGCCACACTGCCCTGAGCACAGAGCCTTTGAGTTGAAAGCCACTGCGGGTCCCAGAGACCTCTGAGCACTGCCTGGAAATACCCACCAATAAGAAATCAGCCTCTGTCCACCCCTCAAGAAGAATGAGAGAACAAAAATGAGGGTCCCCTAGAGCACTGATTCTGCCGGGGCACCCACGGGACCTAGGAAAAGATATGAAGGGAGGCCCAAGGAACAGGCCTGGGCAGCCAGGAGGTGGAGCAAAGTCGGGAATAGGACACAGCAGGGCTCGGCATCAAGAGGCAGGTGTGGAGCTTCAGAAACCTTCCGGGAGCGGGGCTGGAGCAATAGCACAGCGGGGTAGGGTGTTTTGCCTTGCACGTGGCCGACCAAGGTTCGATTCCCAGCATCCCATATGGTCCCCCGAGCACCGCCAAGAGTGATTCCTGAGTGCATGAACCAGGAGTAACTCCTGTGCATCGCCGAATGTGACCCTCCCCCCCCAAAAAAGGAAAAACAGAAACTTTCCGGGAAAGGGGGTTCTTCCACAGCAAGTGTTCTGGCCACAGACCACTTCTTCTAAGAGGAGCAGTGGAGAGAAGGCCAACACACTCGGCACAAAGCTGCGACCAGCATGGGTGGCCACCAGGGTTCCTGCTCAGGCACCACAGCCTCCGCCCCACAACTCAGGAGGGGGCTCACACTGCAGACAAACCACTCACCAGCGGGGGGCGGGAGGGGTGGGGGGGGAGCGCGGGCTGGGACAGGCAGGGCTGGGCAGCGGGTGTGGCCGCCTGCACATGCTTTGCATGGTGGCACAGGGAGCTCCAGCACTCCTGGGTGTGGCCCAACCACCAACCACCACCAGAGAGTTCCCGCCCGAAGCAGCCCAGAAGCCAGGCACAGAGATCAGGGGCCACCACCCGCCTGCAGCCACTAGGCTGCAAGGGCCATCGCATCACAGCATGGCGTGTGATGCCCCCCTCCCAAAGTGCAGACATGGAAGCCACATGGGGGGGGGGTTGCCCAGCCCACACCAGGAGCCCAGGTCTGGAGCTGGGCACCGAAAGACGGGTAGCCCCTGACACGCCCAATCTAAGTGGGGTGGGTGGGAGAAAAGGACGGAGAAAAGGGCAGAACCCCGGACAGGGAAGTGCCCACGTGCAGCCCAGTTGCGGGTGGGACCAGCAAAGCGCCCACGGCCACACCTGTGCGCCAGGGCACAGCGGGGCAGCCACGGCCAGGCCCGAGCCCCCGTCCCCCACAACACCCCCAAACTGCTGCTCTCGGGGTCGCAGGAGTTGGGAGGGTCAAGAGGGGGGCAGGCCAGGCAGGGTTGGGACGCTGAGGGGGCGCGGTCGGGACCCGGACTATGAGGGGCGGGCCGGGGCTGAGGGGGGCCGGGACCCCGACTGTAGGGGGCGCGGGCCGGGGCTGAGGGGGGCCGTGGGGGGCGCGGGCCGGGACCCCGACTGTGGGGGGGCGGGCCGGGGCTGAAGGGGGCCGGGACCCCGACTGTGGGGGGCGCGGGCCGGGCCGGGGCTGAGGGGTGCCGGGACCCGGACTGTGAGGGGCGGGCCGGGGCTGAGGGGGGCCAGAATCCCGACTGTGGGGGGCGTAGGCCGGGACCCCGGACTGTGGGGGGCGCGGGCCGGGCCGGGACTGAGGGGGGCGCGCCGGGCCGGGTCCCGGGGCTGCGGGCCGGGGGCGGCAGCCGTTGGCGGCCCGGGCAGGGCCCGAGACTCCGCCCCGGCCCGCCGGCCCCGGGTCGTGTCTGCCCGCCGAGAGGGCCCCGAACCTCGCCCGCTGCGGGTCCCCGAGCCCCCGCCGCTACCCCGGGCCGCGACCCCCGAACTCACCTGCCGCGCGCCGCCGCCGCCGCCCGAGGCCTCCTCCGCGCGCTCAAGCCCGGCCCCGAACGGGCCCCGTGCCGAACGCTAGCCAATCGCGCGCCGCGCTCGGAAGCGGGGGCGGGAGCAGCGCGGGCGCTCACCACTCCCGCGCGCAACATCTGAAGCTCTTTGACCAATGAGGAGGCGGCCCACCTGAACCCCGACCAATCGGGAGCTAAGACCCAGGCGAGGGGCGGGAACCGAGGCGGGGTTCCGGGGCGGGCGCTTCGAGAGGGCGCGTGCACGCTGAGCGGCTGCTGCGGAGCGGTGCGGCTGTGGGCAGGACCATCGTGGACAGGCCGTCTTGGCAAGGGGCGGGGGGGAATCGTCACTCTGGACAGGTCAGGCCGCCCGCCTCGTTCCCTCGGAGACCCGCCCCGGTCGCCCGGCGCCCCACTTGGCTCCCACGGACTGAAGCCCCGCCGCCTGCACGGAGGAGGTGCCCGCCTAGGCGTGAGGGCCCCCGCAGTCCGTACCTCTTTCATCCTGTC